TTATTCAAAAGGAATAAAAATTTTAAATCTTTATTCAAGAGGAAGCTAGACATTTACATGAGGGAGGGAGGAATAGAAGGGTGGAGAATCATTTGAAGTATAAAGACCAGCATGGATTGATTGGGCCGAGTGGCCTGTTTCTGTGAACAAATAGCAGGGAGTACAGTATTGAGAGAAAGCTAAGCCTTACACAATACACAGTCACTACACTTTACAGAATATCCTGTGAGGCACTTTGACATGTCCACCCAACAGGAAAGGACTATATCTAATAATAACAATAATGATCCTTCCATTTGATATAGCGCCTTATCACGTCTTATCAAATACAAGAATTACTTTAGTACTATCATTGGGAACAGGTGTAATGTAAAGGTGAGCAGGACCAGAGAGAAACTGGTGGGGAGTGTGAGATACATGCATCAGGTATGGATGGGGTGATGGAACAGATAGTGGGTGGATGAGCAGAGAAGTAGCAAAGAGTGAAAGTTTGATGAGGGGCAATGATGTGATTGATGACAGTGACCAAGTGTGGGTTCAGTTTGCAAGAGACGGGAGAAGGGAGACCAATGAGATTTGGTCAAGAGACGGTCTGAGATGAGGGATCTGAGGGAAAGGTAGCGTACAGATAGAACATATATCCAATGCAATGTTCATATTAGGGTAAAAATTGTGGGATGTGATGGATAAAATTACATAGAACTCTAAAGGTCAGAAACAGACCATTTGACCTAATTAATCTTTGTTCCTCTATTCCTTTCTACAGGGTGACCACAAGTCGTGATACCAATACAATGTCTAAAGAAATTATGATTTTTTTGGAAATCGGTTAGCTGAAAAGTAAGACTTTTTGGTCACCCTGTATAATAATAGCAAATAGTAGTAATCCTTCCATTTGATATAGCGCCTTATCCCGTCTTTGAGATGTCGCAAAGCGCTTCACAAAATATACTGTAAAATGAATTGACTGTATATTTTGGAAGCTAATTGCGCTCATCAGTGTCCAACAAACAGTCGTGGATTGAGTGAAATTATTATTATAATTTTTTTTTGGAAGGGGTTATTACTCCTGGAAAAGCGATCCGCCAATCGACTCAACAGCCGGGTTCCTACTTACTGCTAGGTAAACAAGGACGGGTAGAATAAGGAAACTTGCCCAACATTTCACCTTGCCGGAAATTGAACCCAGGTCTTCTTGCTTGCGAGGCGAGTGCTCTAACTACTAAGCTACATTTCTCATGTATAATGATTCAAAATGCAATCCTGAACCTGCCTTTAGTTAATGACCGGATTGGAAATGAACACAATTTACTCTTCCACACCCGTCTTTGGCTCAATGTTTGCATCTGAAGTCAGTTTGAAAGATCAATCGCTACCATCTTTCCTTTTCACTATGGTGAAGTTCGCCACTGTTGGCATCGATCACAGAGAGCTACATTTCAGTGCTGTTTCATGAGATTCCCTCTCATCGCTGGCGAGTTGTTGCATCACGTGCCGCCTTTTTCACTTGATACATAGACAGAAAAGGAGGGAGAGGACGAGGTAGGAGAGGAAGAGGAAACTGACATGGCATTGGAAAATCCGGAAAGGAGACCTGTAGCTCAGTGGTTAGAGCACTCGCCTCACAAGCGAGTGGACTTGGGTTCAATTCCCGGCAAGGTGAAACGTTGGGCAAGTTTCCTTACTCCACATGCTTGATAATAAGCCCTCCAAAAAAAAAATTGATCATTTCAATCTACGGCTGTTTGTGTGACACTGCTCTGTACAATTGGCTTCCGCATTTCGCCCACAAATACACAGTCAATTCACTTTACACTCTATTCTGTGAAGTGCTATGAGACGTCTAGAAGATGTGAAAAGTGCTATATCAAATGCAAGGATTATTATTATTATTAAAGGCTAGAGACAGAGACAGATTCGGAACATGTGGGATACGTCAGAGCTGTGCATAGTTGAGGACATTTTTGAACCATTAATTATGCACAGTGGAGTCTCACTCTTACTGAAGTAAGATCACTGTAATTATTGAAAGGTGCAAGATAACCCCAGTGCCTTCCTAAAACCGTACCTACGTTTGCCAGACGTATCTTCTCAGACATTCTTTTGCTGGCCAACAGTGTTGCAGACAAATTGTTCATTCACGTCATGGCTGTTTGTGGGACTTTGCTGTGTGCCTTGGGACAGGCTCCCAATGTGAAAGGCGCTTATATAAATGTGAACGTGTTATGTATTGTGCCCAAAATGGCTGCCTTGTTTTCCAAGAATGCACAGTCACTACACCCGATAATAATTACCTTAACTTTTTGATGCCATACGTGCTGTAGCAAGTGCATGGAAAACCTAAACTGATTGACACAGTCGTAAATTTCTGAAATATTTGAACTACGTTGCAAACTCTGCAAACTTTTTCTGTTGAAAGTTGTGAACCAATCACCAGCCTGGTGAGATGCCAGTCTGACCCCTCACGCCTTGATCTTGGCAACCCTCTCGCCCAGTGAATGTTTCTTTTTAAGCTGCGTCGGGGAGTTGGCTTTATTCCCAGAATAACAATGGGAGCTGCTGTCCTCGACAGAAAATCCAAGCACAAGAATTCTTGAAACTGCTGGGGCATTAAAGCAGCAATGAGGTTCAAAAGGTGCCACTCTTGTGAGTTGTACAAGCAATCCTTGGTCTACCTCTCTATCCGCTCAACCATCAGTGGACGAGATTTAAGCCATTCTGTCCCCTCTCTCTGGAACCCCATCTTGGATTCCCTCAGACTCACTTCCCTCCTCTTTCAAGGCCCGTCTCAAGATGTACCTCTTTGAGCATGTTTTCCTATCCCCGAACCCTTTGGGTACCCAACCAACAATGAACAAAGTCAAGCATTTTGATACATCTTCCCACTATATAAACGTAAATTGTATTGTACCTATACTGGCACCTCAACGTATGGGGGTGAAGAAAGCAGCACACCGTGAATCCTGTGCATTTCAAACTGACTTTCAAACTTAGATCATGCACTTGAGTGTAAGTCTAGACTTTGAGCTCAATCCAAACTTGGACTTAAACTCACTAATGTTCTGACTCAGAAGCAAGAGTGCTACCAACCGAGCCCAAATAATGGGCAAAAGTATTTTAATTTTGCTTACAAATGTGCACTGGCTCACATTGAGTCAAAATGCATGACCACATCACTTGTGCACAATAAGTAATGTATTTATTCTATCGGCCTCTCCACACCCAAAAATTTGCTAGATTAGTTTTTACACAAGGATAAACCCTTTAATGTATGATGCTGAACTGCACCACCCATTTAGGAGTGAAATCAGGAGGCGTTTTTTCACACAAAGAGTAGTAGAAATCTCGAACCCTCTACCCCAAAAGGCTGTGGATGCTGGATTCATTCAAATTGTCAAGACTGAGGTGGATAGATTTTTGTTAGGTCAGGGTATCAAGGGATATGTGTCAAGGGCAGGTAATTAGAGTTGAGGTACAGATAAGCCATGTTCTAATAGAATGGCGGTACAGGTTCAAGGGGCTGTATAGCCTACTCATGTTCCTATTAGCCTGCACGCAATGACAATATCAATTCCCCAGTCAGTGGAAATTAACTTGCTGTGGAAGATATTATGACCAGGCAGGACCTTCCAGGAGATTTGTAAGGGCATTATGTAAAAAAAATTGAAAACGTACCATAATCTCTCCCATCGTTGGTTTCAAAATAAAACATAAATTAAAAATCCTTCATAACATTCAACAGTTAGGAAGGACACAGTGTACTGCCATTCTTTAATTAGTGAAAGAAAAAAACATTTAGAGAAAGGGTAGATCAGCGATTAATTTTCATGGCGTAACTTCGTAAATATCAAACTTTTATGTTCTCCACAATTCCCTTGTCAGAATTTGCATTGATTTTATTTTACAATTGCCTCAATAACCTGCGAAGCTCTGGAACGTACAGCATGATTCTTCTGTCGTGAATCATTTCTAATATTTCAGGGATATACAGCAGATTTTTTATTTTTATCAAAATGACCAATGCCAGAGGCAGGACTTTGAGCTCACAGTCTAGGCTGATGCTTCAGTGCAGTGCTGAGGGAGCTCCACTGCATTGTTTAAGAGTGTCATGTGAAGGGCGCTATATGAATGCAAGTTGTTGTTGTTGAGGCATTAAACCAAGGTCCCACCTGTCTGTTCAGGAACACATTAAAGATCCCATGGCAAAATTCAAAAGGAGAAGGGAGTTCTTCCCAATGTCCTGACCAACAATCTCCCAGAAAAACAATGGTTATTAATTTCATGGTTGTTTGTGGAACATTACTCTGTGCAAACTGGCGGCCAGTCACTACAATTGTACAAAAACTTTGTGGAGTGTTTTGATACAGTGGCTCGGCCCGAAGCTAACCAGCTGTCTCTGACGTTTTGATTTGCAAGCCGGAATTCCAATGTGTGGTGGAGCCCAGCTTCCCAACGCACCCATTTAAAAAGGCTATTAGTTTGTGAGGTGGGGGATCGGGGATCCAATGTTCAGCACACCCCAGGATTACTGCAGTGTTAATTATACAGTTTAACAAATGTCATGGTGTGATGTACTGTAACATTTGTTAAGGGTTTCAACAGTGTGCTATGAGTGCTGAAAAAGTCTTGTGTCTTGTGGGCCCTAATTACCAATACAGACTGCTGTATGGTTGCTATAATGTGTAAATATTAAGGTATTCTTAAATTTACCACTCTATAAGTACTTTTAAATGGAAAGTAAAAGGTATTAGTTTGGCTTTTTTATGTAAAATCTTTAGTCGGTATGTTTAAACTCGCCTTAAAGAAAAATAAAACCACTACAAATGTTTCAAAGGAAGGAAATGGTATTCAGAAAATAGTAGGGATCTGCCATGGGTCTAAGGAGTTGGCGGAACGGAGCCGATGGGCTGAATGGCCTCCTTCCACTCCTGGCTCGAATGTATCAGTGGAACAAATGCTGCATCGTGCTTCATGTTAACATACTGTCTTCTGGTTCCTAGATGCAGCAGCTGGAGAGACAAGTCATTGATGCCAACCGCCGTGCAGAGAAGGCTCACCAGCAGGTATTCTGTGAAGACATATCTCACTCTCGCTTAGAGTGTGGCATTTCATTTGATCATGTAGAAGAATAACGCTCAGGTTGAAGAAGCCCCGAGTTGACTTGAACTCTTATTCTGTGCCCCATTTAATTTAAATGTTTTCCTGGGCGGGGGAGCAAATTTCGTGTGCAACCCTTCACTGGCAGTTCCTCTGAGGGGCTAGACCTGAAGCGTTGTACTGGTCTTCCACTTTCAGGTGCTAATCCACCTGCCATGAAGCTCCAGCCTATTCTATTTTTATTTTATTTATCCCACTGTAAATATGTAATATCATGCTTTGTAACTCTGCATTGGCAGCTATGTTCAAACAGACTTTCTAAGTACAAAATCTTACAGGTAACCGCCAGGCCAAAAGTCAGTCTGTCAGGACAACTAGCAGAAACTCTGTTTTGCAGGTCTCCGAATCTCTTAACATGGACTTGGTTATTTTTAGATTCTACTGTGAATATGGTAATTTAGATATAATATGTCAGTGTGGCATAGTTAGTAGCACTCTGGTTCAGAAGGTTGTGGATTCAATCCTGACAATTGGGACTCTGACCTCACTATCTAGGCTGGGGTATCAACACAATGCTGTGGAGCACTGCACTATCAGAAGTACCGTCCTTCAGATGAGAAGCTAAACCGAGGTCTCATCTGCCTGTTCAGGCGGATGTTAAAGATTTATAACGCAATTCCTAAAGAGAAGGGAGTTTCTCCTGGTGTCCTGGTCAACAATCCTTTTATCTAAAACAGATAAAATTGATCATTCACTTCATGGCAGTTTGTGGATAAATTGGCTTCTACGTTCACCTACAATTCTAATCAATTTAAGTTAAGATAAAATCCTGTCAAATGCTTTGATATGTTTCAATAACGTGAAAGGGTGCTATATCAAATTTAAATATTATTACTATTATTAATAATGTGGTTTCTAATATCTCATTGAGAGAATAAATAAGTTAAAATGGTAAAGTGCAGTGCATACGTACACAAATAAATATGCAACATTCAATGCACAAAACAAGTGAAAATTAGAGCTACCTAATACATTACATGTAAAAACAGTTAAGTGATGTAAAAGTAAGCAGCAGGAAAAAAAATACTAAGACAACATCTGCAAGTTTGGGACACACACCATCAGTTTTATTAGTGTATTTAACCAAACATTTGGGGAGGATTTTAGGCTGTGTAGTAGGCATTTATTGAAAGGGTAGACTTAATTAAAATTCTTGGCAACAATGAAAAAAAAAGTCACAGTTACTATTAAAAACATTGCGGGTCCTCATACGTACTAAGCTTTAGGATTTAAAATGTGGGCTTACTAATGTAATTCCTTATTCCCATTGGAATTCCTACCAACCACTACTTTCACAACAGAAGTAAGTTGGGTCAAACATTGCTAATGTGACCTACCTCTCAGTAACTAGAAAGAGTTCCCACTTGCACAAAGTTTCCCTGTTGGAAATGGTGCATTTTAGACTCCTTTATGTTTCCTTTGGATGAGATGTTAAACCAAGTTACTATCTGCCTGTTCAGGTGGACTTTAAAGATTCTGTGGCACAATTCACACAGAGAGAAAAGAGTTTCTCCCGGTGCCCTGGCTAACAAACCCCTAAAACAAAATTGGTCAGTCATGTCATAGCTGTTTGTGGGACATTACCGTGTGTAGTTCTGCTGCTGCATTTGCCCACAAATACATAGTGATTACATTTCACAGTACAGTGTTACAGTGCAATAATTATTACTATTATTTCCAGTAACTGCCATTATGAATTTTGGTTTTGATCCACACCTGAATCTCTAGATTTAACATTTGATGTTGTTTCTTCCACTGTACTTTTTTGCCTTTGCATAAATTGAAGCTGCCGTTCAGTAGCAAAGGGAAAAATGAAGCAATTTAGTGGGAGGCGTAGTGTATGGGTGGGAGCGCTAATGAGTGTTACAGCTAGCTTGTTCAAAATAGCTGGGGCAAGATTATATCAAACACATACAGAGCAGTCTGAATATTTCACATAACTTTGATATCAGGATGTTATTTGAAGGTCTAGAAAGCAACAGACGCTGGGTAACTAAAACTGCTTCACAGGGAGAAATTAGTTCAATTGTTAAAACGAGGGAAAATAAACACATATACAAGGGAGATGGAAGTAAAGGGAGGAGGGGTGGGAGTTTGTGGGGAGTATAAACACTGGCAGTAACTAATTGGGCTGAATGGCCTTTTTCCATGCAGTTTCGCTCTATGTGACTGCATAAAAATGCCTTCACTGATTATGCTTTTATGCAGTAAAGTTATGAACCTGAAAAAAACATGAAAAGGGGGTGACTGTTTCTTCAGCTCTTGCTCAACACATACTGCCAGCACCAGCATTGCATGTGTGTTATTACAGGTATATTATTAATGATAATCCTTACATTTGATATAGCACCTTTCATGTCATGGGATGTCTCAAAGAGCTTCATAGGATTTACTGTAAAATGTACCGACTGTGTATTTTGTTTGAATGCATATTCATGTTGCCCTGCAACCTCCTCTCTCTCTCTCCTCCCCCTCACCCCCCCTTACATTTCGCACCAAAATACCCGAACAGATAATCCACTACCCAGGAAGAAATAAATCACACTGTAATCCTACAAAACATTTAAATTTTTTTTTAAAAAAGTGTTAACCAAAAAAACCCTGATTTTATAATAATAATAATAATCCTTGCATTTGATATAGCGCTTTTCACGTCGGGAGGACGTCCCAAAGCGCTTCACAGAACACACTGTAAAGTGAATTGACTGTATATTTGTGGGCGAACGCGGCAGCCAATTGCGCACAGCAATGTCCCACAAACAGTCGTGGATTGAAAATGACCAATTTATTATTGTTTTTGGTTTTGGAGGGATTATTATTAGGCTCTGTGTGGAGTAAGGAAACTTGCCCAAGGTTTCGCCCTGCCTGGAATTGAACTCAGGTCTCTAGCTTGCAAAGCGAGTGCTCAACCACTGAGCTACAGGACTCCACATTTAGATGAACGTTCGTTCCATCCAAGGAAATGAAGTGACAACGTCATTGCTAGCATACATCAAAAATTGTACCATCCGATGATTTTAACGTAGAATCATTCAATCATCAAAAGTTACTGCATAGTAACAGGCCATTTGGCTCATCAAGTCTGCACTGGTGAATTTTCTCCATATGAACCAGTTCAGTGCCCCTCTCTCTCCTCCCCATGCGCTTTTACCATTCCTCATCATTATTATAGTATTATTTTGAAATGTTGAACTCCCATCCTGAGAACAAGATTGCTTGTCATTCTGAGCTAAACTAAAGGCTGGCGCCAAAAAGCACTTGTCGGATTTCTTTTTAGTAGAGCTGATGTAAAAGTGCGGAGCAGGTTGCGTTGTGAAACAGTCCTTAGTGCCAACAAACAGCAAGCGCTCCATGCTGTTAGGTGACATATGCTCTTTGCAAAATGAGATACAACAACAAAAACAGCAACTTGGATTTATATAGCGCCCTCCACGCTGGACGGCATCTCAGAGCGCTTCACAGTAACGGATCCCGGGACCGAGCCAGGGGGAGGGGGAGGAAGGTGACCAAAGGCGCGGTCGAAAGGAAAGGTCTTCAGCATAGACCTGAAAATAGGAAGAGAGGGAGCGAGACGAAGGGAATGAGGAAGGGAGTTCCAGAGCCTCGGGGCATAGTGGCTAAAGGCATGGCCGCCGAGCGTGGACCGGAGGACTCGGGGGACAAGGAGGAGGCCAGACCTTAGTTATGAATTGGGACATTTTCCACTGTGTAATAGAAACGGTTTTACTGAACCTCGCTCTGTGAAAAGCGCCCTGAGGCTGGTAAATAGCAGTGGGGCCTCTTGCAGATTGAAAATATGCATGAATTTACTGATGTGGCTGCAATTGTTTACTTAGTGTTGATTTTGTGTTGGCGCAGGCTGACTGGCCAAAAGTAGCTCCTCCATTTTGTTTCTGCCCAGAAAGACATAAAGATGTGAAAAATACATAAATGAGAGTACGAGGTCCCGGTTCTCACTGTCTTACTGGATTTTTTTATGTAACCGTTAAGCTTTCCAAGGCCTCCGAACAGTGAGCCAACAACACATCATTTACAATTTTATGAGCTATATACAAACAAGGATTTCCTTTGACTTGTTTTTCCTTACATTCCACGGTTTCCGAGGCTATGTTCCCTGGCTTGAAATTGTCGATTGCTACATTGTGATCTAAATTACATCCACACATCACTCACTATTATCCTTATTAGTCACTCCCAAATTTCCATAACTCCAAATATTTAAAGTATTTAATTGGGTTATTCAAAAGGATACAATAAAATAAAATATAATCCTTGCATTTCCTTGCATTTGTGTATAAATGGCAAGCTGTACATCGCACCAATCTACCTCCATTCACACAAGATGCATAAACCGTGTATTTATTGTTTAGTATTCTGTGTAGTATTTCAGCATCAAACTGTACCATTGTTAAGCACTCCGAGGGCGCTATATAAATTCAAGTTTTTGTTGTTGAATAATGCTCCCAATTTTACAGTGGCGGTAGCTGAAACAATATATTTCCAGATAGCAATTAGAGCACATTAAATTGGGGAACAAGAGGAAGCCCAGATCAGCAAGAAGGCAACTTTGGTACGATTAACATGTTGTGATAATAGTTTGAGTTGTTACTCATATGTAATGATCTGGAGACCTGTAGTTCAGTGGTTAGAGCACTCGCCTCGCAAGTGAGAGACCTGGGTTCGATTCCTGACAGGGCAAAACATTGGGCAAGTTTCCTTAATCCACATGCCCCGTTTACCTAGCAGTAAGTATGAACCCGGTTGTTAGTCAATTGGCAGATTACTTTTCCGGGATAATAATTCCTTCAAAAAAATAATAATTTGGTAATTCAATCCACAGTTGTTTGTGGACACTTCTGTGTGCAATTGGCTGCTGCATTTCGCCCACAAAATACATTCAATTCACTTTACAGTATATTCTGTGAAGCGCTTTGAGACTTCTAGAAGATGCGATAAGGCACTACATCAAATGCAAGGATTATAATTATTATTTTGATTATCTGGAGCTTTGTCCTGGGAATGCCATCATGACAGAGGCGTTTTATGATGATATCCAATCTGACATTGTACCACATAGAACTATCGCAGAACTAAGGCTCTCCCAGAGGGAAATGACTGGTTGCTTAGAGGATTTCCTTCTTTACACTGCAATTTGAAGGTGTGGGGGGCATAAAAAGCATTAAACATGTCATTTAAAACTAAACTCACAGTTTTAAAACTTTCACTAAAGTTTGGAAATATACAACTTTTGTTTTAAATTTAGCACTGATTAACATCAGATCTAACTGGTAAAAATCCAAAGGATTCAGATTAAACCCCAAAGATGCAATCAGATCATGTGCAGTCTTGTGATTTTCTTGCTCTACTTCTGTGCGCTCTGGGAAAGTGTATACATAGGAATGCAAGAACAGGAGTAGGCAATACGGCCTATTTTAATAATAATAATCCTTATGTTTGGTAAAGTGCCTTTCATGTCAGGTGGACGTCCCTAATTTCACAGGATGTACCAATAAGTGTAGTAACTGTGTTTCGTGGGTGAAAACAATTCTATCGTTGTATTGCATTGTAATAATAATTAGTAATCCTTGCATTCGATATAACAACAACATGATTACATTTGTATAGCACCTTTCATGACAACATGATAAGATATAGCATCTTATGTCGTCGAGACATCTCAAAGTGCTTCACAAGGTAAAATGCAGTGACTGTGTATCTTGTGGGCATTATTGTATCAGGGTAAATTTTATCATTTTAAACCCATTTCACTGTTTTTTCTATGTAATCCATTAATACCCATACATACTGATTATTTGCAATCTCACATTTAACAACTCCATCAATAGTAAAAGGGTGCAAAATCTGTGTCAATGGTATAAGACAGAGAGGAGGTGAGACAATCTCAGTTGAGCTGAGACTTTGTGGGCCAGTATTGCATTTCCGCACTTTACTTTTCCAATGCAAGACATAATTTTACGTTCCATTTCTCCCAATGAACAGTTTTCCACCTCCTCTCTTCCCACCCCAGCTCCACCAAGCCCCCCAGCCCCACCACCAACCATCAACCCAATAAATTGCAATGTATACCGTCAAGATCACAAGAAGCAAGGACTTAACAGAAACTAAAGATAAAGGGGAAAGAAAAGTACAGAGATGTAAATGGGTATTGCAGGGGAGATCCAGAGATGTACAACACCAGCTACAAGTTGCATTTACATAATGCCCTTCACTTGGGCTAACCTCCAGGAGCACTGACATATTTTCTTACCTGTCTGTCTGTGGCACATTGAATATAGAACTCCACTATTTTAGTCTGCGCAATTGGCAATGCTGATACGAAAGACCTGCATTGCTTTTAATTGCGATTCCAGAGCTGATAATAATCATAGCCACAATACCCCTCCGTCCCCTATTTATACTTCAGAGACTCACTACAAAGCATTTCAGGTTTGATTCCAAAAAGCCTTTCTTGGAAAAAAAGATCTAGTCAAGAGATTGAGGGTCACCATTACCAGGCACATGGTGTCGGCAGTCTATTTAGCCCTGGGAAGGAGGAGTTGGGGACCAAATTGTATAATCAAGTCCAATTCTGTCCTTACATTATAATAATAATAATAATCCTTGCATTTGATATAGTGCTTTTCACGTCTTCTAGATGTCTCAAAGCACTTCACAGAATATACTGTAAAGTGAATTGACTGTATATTTGTGGGCGAACGCGGCAGCCGATTGCCCACAGCAATGTCCCACAAACAGTCGTAGATTGAAAATGACCAATTTATTATTGTTTTTTTTTGGAGGGATTATTATTTGTGGAGTCCTGTAGCTCAGTGGTTAGAGCACTCGCTTTGCAAGCGAGAGACCTGAGTTCAATTTCAGGCAGGACGAAACCTTGGGCAAGTTTCCTTACTCCACACGCCTAATAATAATCCCTCCAAAAACCAAAAACAATAATAAATTGGTCATTTTCAATCTACGACTGTTTGTGGGACATTGCTGTGCGCAATTGGCTGCCGCGTTCGCCCACAAATATACAGTCAATTCACTTTACAATGTGTTCTGTGAAGTGCTTTGGGACGTCCTCCCGACGTGAAAAGCGCTATATCAAATGCAAGGATTATTATTATTAGGCGTGTGGAGTAAGGAAACTTGCCCAAGGTTTCGCCCTGCCTGGAATTGAACTCGGGTCTCTCGCTTGCAAAGCGAGTACTCTAACCACTGAGCTACAGGACCCCACATTGTGTCTGTCTACCAGCGCATCAACTTCAGAAATCTCGCTCTTGCCTTCAGATGCCTCAATGCCTTTGCCCCACCCAATCTCTGCAATCACCTGCGGTCCTATTCTCTCTTACACACCCTCTACCCTGCCAACTCTGGCCTGCTTCATGTACTCCACACCGCTATTGAACTTTCAGCTACATTGCCTTCGCTCTCTGGAACTTTCTTCTGAAGTCCTTGTTTGCCCTCTCTCTTTACCTCTCATACTCAGAATTCAGCTAAAAACCTATCTCTTTCAGCCATCAACCCCTATTTCTCTCCCAGCTCAGTGTCTCGTTCAAACTATGCAAAGCGCTTTGAGACATTCTTCTAAGTTGCCGTTGCTCATACACGATCACCTCCATTAAGTGTCTCTGGGCAATGATCAGAGTTTTAAAATTTCACGTGATTTTAGCTAAGAGACCCCATTTGCTTTCCATGAGACCCAACATTCAGCTTAGAAAGATGTAACTTTCCCACATACAGTCATTGGAAACCTTAGGCTTTCATCGGGTCCAAGAGCAAAGCTGTTTTAGTTCTGCCGACAAACTTATATTTTACAGCATGAGCTACGGGATGAAATTCATTTCTGTTCCAGTCTGTCGTTCCAAGGTGTTGCAGTGAATTACGCTCTGGAACATTCTCTCAAAGGCACTGCCAACATTTTATCTCACCGTCTGGGTTTGAATGGTTTCCATGGATACGGTTACTGCCGTGCGAAACATACATTTGATTACATGGCAGCAAACTCAACCTCTAAATGTAATCATACAGAAGGCTCGCTCGACAAACCATTTCATGTGTGTGTTTTCTTGTCATTTCAATACAAATATCGTAACGTAGAAATACTTATGCCCGAGTGAAACTCTGGAATGTCGGAAACCTGTAGCTCAGTGGTTAGAGCACTCGCCTCCAAGCGAGAGACCTGGGTTTGATTCCAGCAGGGTGAAACCTTGGGCGAGTTTCCTTACTCCACATGCCTGATGATAATCCCTCAAGAAACTAAAATAAAATAATGATTTGGTCGCTCAATCCACGACTGTTTGTGGGACACTGCTGTGCGCAATTGGCTGCCACGTTTCGCCCACAAATATACAGTCAATTCACTTGACAGTATGTTCTGTGAAGCGCTTTGAGACGTCTAGAAGACGTGAAAAGCGCTATATCAAATGCAAGGATTATTATTATTAGTCAGATATGATATTGTATTATAAACACTCACAGCCGTGCTGCTCCTTTTAATTCAGGGAAACCTGTGACTCAGTTCGATCAAAAGTCTTGACTGCTTTCGGTGGTAGCACACTTGCCTCTGGGTCAGAAGGTGTGGGTTCAAGCCCCATGTCAGGTCTTGAGCTCCTGGATTAGGCTGGCACTCCTGTGCAGTGCGCGGGATAACTCCACTTTGTTGGAGGTGCATTTCAGGTGAGGTGTTAAACCAAGGTTCCATTTTCCTGTTTTTAAGTGGACGCCATGTGAAAAGAGAAGAAAGTTTCTCCCAGTGTACTGGCCAACAATCCTCCAAATATATTAGTCATTCACCTCAATGGCTGCTCGTGGGCTTTTGCTGTGCACAGAATGGCTCCTTCATGTGCCCACATAAAGCAATTACATGTGTCCTTGATAGCAAAGTACTTTGAGACGTTTCAATACAACAAGGTGAAGTTCTTCATTTTTAGTTCAAGATACTATGACGGGTATTTTACTGAAGTCTCCTTTTCCCCCCCCGTTGCCATTTTGGGTTCTCAGGTTCGTGTTATGGAAGAGAAGCTCAAGGCAGCCAACGTGCAGACCAGCGAATCAGAGAATCGGTTGTACAAGAGCTGTCAGGATCTGGAGACTCTCATAGTGGAGAAGGAGGACATCATTCAGCGCTTGGAGCTGCACCTGGATGAGCAGGTGCGCTGCTGCACCAAACCTGTTCTCTGCTTCTGGGAGTGTTTAGAATTCTAGAATGTTGCAGCACAGAAATGGACCGGTCCTTCGCTCCACACGATTAACCTCAATCAGGTTCCACTTTCCTGCTCGCGCCCCAAACCATTTGATATTCCTTCAGGATACGCTTTAGCTGGTTAAAGAAATGCCAGCAGTATCCAAATGCACCCTCTACGGTTCCCGAGCCTTGAAGCTGCGTCCCTCTGGAGAAAGTATGCGCATTCCCTGCCAGACACGGGACATTTCCTCGTGTAGGTTCATGGCACTGACTGGTTTGAATACTCTTAAGCATGGTGATTGGTTTCTGCATGTGTCAGACACCTGGCTGACCATTAATAAATTAACAAATAAATAACTATGTATTCTTCCTCTTCAAGAATCTATCCGTTTTTAAAAGATTCATTGGCTGTACCTCAATTTGTCTGATGCAGAGAACTCCACATTCCAACCACCCTCTGTGGAAAGAATATTCTCCAACGTATAATTTCAATTCCTTTTACAATTCATCTCAAATTTGTGCCTTCTTGTTAACGACTTGCCAATGGTGCGAATAACCGGTTGACTATATTGCAGTGAAGGGTTTGTGTGTGACGACAGTGTGATTCTATGAGTATGATTTTGAGTTACAGAAACAAATGCGAAAACAGGAGACCAGAATAATCGAAGACAAAGCAGCTAAGATCAAGGAGTGGGTCACAAAGAAGCTGTGTGAGGTAATTCTATGTTATTGCACATTTGCAGAAAAATCAATACAATATCATATCTGACTAATTCTTTTGTGAACGGCACCTATGGTCTACTCTCCCTTCTCACTTGCTTGGCATCTGCCCTCTGTCAATGTGAAACACTCTGAGCCATTATGCTACATGAAGGACACTATATAAATGTAACTTGTTGTTGAGTATGTTTCTGCATGGAGATGGATGACCTTAAAAATAATGGAATCCAACTTGTTCCATAAGCAGCAGCTCCATTCACCGCTACACCATCGGGGCTGCCTGTACTACAATCTGTTCTTAATTCAAAATCTATTTATATATATTTACATTCATTATTTCCTCTCAATCTGATCACAGCTTGAAATTGAAAATCAGAATTTGAAAGTCGCCAGCCAGCAGCAACTGGAGCTCACACAGACTCTTGAAACCAAATTACAAGGTAACAGGCCATACATCTCAGACCTGTGTGGTCACTGAGTGACTGCAGCATCCCATCGTGCATGGTTACCAATTCTTCTCTTTGCGACACGTCAACATGTGTAGGATGTGATCGTTTCTTCCTGGTGCTGTCCGTAGCAATTTCAGTGCCCGCGATGAGTGTCACATCGTTGACTTGCAGCGTCCTCCCGACGTGAAAGGCAGTGTACAAATGTAATTTGTTGTTGTAGTTGTTGACTTGCATGCCGCACTAATACTCAGGATATACTGTAAAGTAGAGTGACTGTGTTTTATAGGCGAATGTGGCCTTCAAGGTCTCGCAAAATACTAGACATTTCCTAAATTTGAAGGCCATGATTTTGCAATTTTTAAAAAAGACTAGCTTCCAAAGTAAGACCAAGCGCAAGGTATTATTATTATTATTATTATCATTATTATAGCAGAACCCCATTATAGTTTGTTATGAGGCAGGTTTAGTCATAGGATCATGGACCCCATTCACTGCATATGCCCCTCCGCAACGACTGGCTCCAGTGCTAAAAAAAATAACTGATGTCCGCCTCATCGCGTCGCTGCTGACATCAATTCCAGCACATTGAAAACAGAAGTGCAGGCTAGCCGCTGCCTGCGGCCTTGTTTGTAAGGCTGGATGGGTTTGATGGGATTTCGGACCTTGGCTTTTTCTTTCTTTCAGCCCTGACAGGAAGCCGAGGACCAAAGTCGCCTTCTGGTTTAAACAAAACGTCAGGCGAAGCTCGACGGCTCAGCAGCCTAACGTTCGGGTACTTTCAAGGAAATCCCCAAAGTCTGCAACAGAACGCTGGTCTGAATGATGGCAGCACATCAACCGCATCACGCCTCGAAGCTAAGCTCCTAGACATACAGCAAACAGGTAGATAAAACTCACTCTATACGTTGCAGTATAATCAAACAAATCTAATCTTGGTAGAGAAAATCAATGACGCAATGATAAATCCCTGATACCTTGAGCAATGTTATATTTCATAAAACATTAATACAATCGCGGATAGAAATTCCGCTAAGGTCTCCTAATGGAACGTTTCCGAGTGTGCAGATTTTGGCAAATTGTTGAATTCCACTTTAACTTTGAAGCCCTTTTTCTATAATTCTTGCAAGAAACTTGCAGAAAAACGGCTTCAAAATTAAATGCTGTATTTAGCAGCATTTGACAATGCTCACTTGACAAATTCTGGGTGCTCTGAAGTGGGTTAACAGAGCAAATATAGACCCAGGTGAAATTTCTGTCCAAAATGTGTCCTTAGTTTTCCTTTTTAAAATGTATGGTGAAAATAATTGTAAAACCATAGTGAATCCTGGGTTACAACCATTCCATGAACACAAGAGAGTTGCATCACCAGCCCTCTGCTAGGTTTGAAGTATCAAAATAATTCTACAGAAGAAGTTTTACAACAAGCATTTCAAGAGATGAAATTGGAAATAGATAACTTTGCATGTTCACCTCTTGCAGAGAAAGAAACCATCAGGAGATCGCAAATAAATGCAGTTCAAGACACCAGAATTGTTCAAAAGGCTACCTCCCAGACTGTCAGCAGCCACGAACAACAAAGTCGGAAAGGATTGGTTGGGCACCAGCTTGCACCGAGGCCAAAGGACGAATTCATGTCCCTAAGCGATGGTAGTTCTGATGAAGAAGAGAAGAAAAAGAGGCCAAAGTCCAAATGTGCATCTAACCACTCCAACCACATGTTGGAAGAAGGAATAAGGCTCAGTCACTTTGGGAGTGAGATATACCTAACAGCGTCTGATGACAGTGGTTCTGCCTATGAGGATGAGGCAGCGAGGGTCCTGCAGGCCGAGAGAAAACCCTCATCAGTGTCAGCAGCAAAGACTGAATCTCCCAGGACTCTGGACCAAGTTTCAGCTGCAGCGATGAGCTCAAAACCACTGAGCAAAAGAATGGTACAAGACCATTCTTCCGATGAGTTGAACAAGAAATTCCAGTCCCAGAGGCTAGATTCTTCATCTTCGTCCAGTGAGGCAAATACTCCGAGCCCAATTGTAACACCAGCACTTACCCCGAAACACGCGACCCCCACTCCGGCTACCAGTATCCAATCCATCCATTCCTCGGCTGAGTCCAACTCGTTTAACAATTTACCGTCTCCGAAACTCCGGAAGCTGAATGTGTTCAGTTTGAACCTGGCCACAACAAAGAAACATTTCAGCCAACCGCAGCTGTGTACGGATCGGCTGTTCGGCAGAAACCGAAACGCCATCAGTATGGTGCGGCCACTGCTTCACCAGGAGACAGACATTGACACAGACGAGGGTGAAAGTGACATTCTGGAAAAGATGGAAATGGGCTTTGACGAGGGAATGTTCTTGTACGACCCTTCTGAAGTGCAAAGCCCAGAAGAGCAACATGAACCGGGAGACAGCCCACCCAAAGCCTCCAACAATAAACCCCCAACGCCTCCTCTGCACAGGTTCCCTTCCTGGGTAGGGTCATATAGGAAATTTCGAGAACAGGAGAAGCCATTCACCAATCGCGCTCCGCCTCTGATTATTCCACATCACTATCACCATCCTTAATACCATTTCCCTGCCGTCTCTTCAGTATTCCTTAGAATACTGTTGGAGGTGCCATTCTTCGGATGAGACATTAAACCGAGGTCCCATCTACCTGTTCAGGTGGACATTAAAGATCCCATGGCACTATTCGAAAAGAGAAAGGAGTTTCTCTCGGTGTCTTATCCAGCAGTGCTCCAGATTGCCACTATTGGAAAGTAGAAAGGATTTTGTTTCGGTGTCTTGGCCAACAATACTCTCCCAATAAAATTCACTTTATGGCTGTTTGTGGGACGTTGCAATGCACAAATTGATTGCTGCATTTACCCACAAAACACACTGACATTCTGTTATCTTCTCAATTCAGGAAAGCAGGATTTACGCAGTAGCCAAGTCAGGCATGCGAATGTCAGAAGCCTTTTGCCTGGACCCAGGTAACAAATGTAAGTATTTCTTGACATAAAATACACTGAGAAGTATTTTGTTGTCGCGTATTAATCTTCATGTGTCGTAACCATGTTCATTTAAAGTGTATAACTAATCCTGAACAACAAACTCGGCTCGTATCAGTGGTTAAATAAAGACTTCCCGGTCAAATGGCTAAGTACTAAACCACATAGTTGAGACTGATCCCACCTAACTCTCTTTATATTTGGAAGAAAAATTAAATTACTTTAATGTACAGACATTCCACATAAAGGATTCAAGATATGTAGAGTGAGCTGTACTGATAATATTCATTGTTTCTTAGGCACTGGTTTCATGTCTTCCTATTCAATGACAGGATCCTACACCAGCCTCATCTACAAAAATATAACCTCGCCCGTTTACACTACTTTGAAAGGGGTGAGTGGGCAGCATTGCCACTTCCATGATTCCCTCTCTTAATTTTAAGAATTGAACCTACTGGCCAACACTTCATTTATTCATAGCAATATCCTCTAACTGGGCTTTAATATTTTTCAGAATTACCCTGAATTCTTTGCCTGATGTGTTTGCAAACAATGCATTATTTTAATTGAAAATAATTGAATTACCATCTTAGAGTTGATACCAAACAAGACTTGTGTAGTTGCATAAGATGCGTGCGACCTGTTAAACTCCTAATGTATTTCCAAGGAGAGGAAATTGCATCATGATATGTTTACACAAAAAGTGCTAGCCAGTTTATAGAATTCTTCTTCGATCTCAAGAAAGCAACCCAGGTGAGCACCAGTCCCTTCTCTGATGAGTCCTCTGAGACTGAGGAAGATGAGAGCTCCAGAGGAAGTTCAAGGACTTCGATGACAGGATCAGACTCTCGCAAAGGCAGTAGCCCCAGCAGCCCGAGAGCCATGAAACGTGGTAAGAGAGTCTGTTACATGTAGATAAGTGATTGATCTACTGTAGACAGTGTAAGAGCTTCTGTTACATGTGGCAAAGTGAGAAATCTACAGGAAAATTTCCAAGTTTAGGTGACCTCCATATACAATGCAATATAAATTTACTTTTATATAGTGCCCAAAACGCTTGGCATCCGAGCTGAGAGTGGGAGCAGAGAGTACCAAGTCAGGACTGTCAAGTGCTTTGGGACAACCTCCTGATGTGAAAGCCGCAAGGTATTGAGACAGACTGAAAGAGGTGAGGTTGGGGGCAACTTGGAGGGACTCCAGGAGAAGGTTACAGAGTTTGGGCCAACTGAAAGCCCAACTGCCAATGGTAGGGCGGATTGGGCGGGAGACATGAAGCAGGCAGATGCCCGCTAAGCGAAGGGAGTGGTTAGTTAGTATGGTTTGAGGAAGTGGAATTTATGGAATATGTGGATATCTATCTGGTTTAGATACTCTTAAGAATGACAATGAGTTGTGGATTGACGAATAACACATAGTCAACTACTGTGTGAATTGGGATCAGGCAGAGAATAATAATAATAATTCTTGCATTTGAAATAGCACCTTATCACATCTTCGAGACGTCTCAAATCGCTTCATATATATACTGTAAAGTGAATTGACTGTATATTTTGTGGGTGAAACGTGGCAGCTAATTGCACTCAACAGTGTCCAAATTGTTATTATTTTTCTTTGTATAAACCGGGGATGGGAGAAAGGAGGAGGTTCCTTAACTAATCACCAATAGATGGAATATAAATTAATATCTCAAAAAGCGATAAAGATCTGGAAATAAATCATATTTTTTATTTGATATACATATATTGTATCTACCTTATTAAATATCAGACACATGGATTCATATACCCACAGTCAGTCTTATCAGGTTACAGATGGTTGACAATTGGCTGAGAACTCTTTCTTCTCACCTCGTCTCTTGATGGTGTTGACCCACAGTTTTAAAGTGACCCTCTAATAATTTGCCCGAATGTTTAGTCTGCATGTAGTGAGTTCTGGGCAGAATATCTCACCATTGTGACACAGCTGAGCCTGTTCCTGGTTAAAGTCCACACATTTACAACATTCCAGGAGGAGCCAAGATAAGGTGCAAGGGTCCTGGATAATTCCTCTTCTCACCCACTTCCATTAACAAATTGTAACATTATTTAATTATACAATAATTATAACACAGTATATAATTATACTGTCACTCATCTGAGATCAGATAACTCAGCACAATCTGTTCTGTTTTTCTCTGGGCAGCAGCTTTATGAACTGGGGGAGCTACGGTAAGTGTTTGTACAGATGGTATTAAATACTGTACACTTTGATCTTAATCAGGTGTGTCAATGTCTTCCATGACATCCGAATGCGATTATGCCATCCCGCCAGATGCATATTCCACAGATACAGAATGTTCTGAGCCGGAGCAGAAACTTCCTAAAACGTGTTCCTCACAGTCTCTTGACAGTGGAAAAAATGTAAGTTTTGCTCCAAGCAAATTTTCCACGCCCCCTCCTTCCCCCATGCGGTTCTGCAGATATGCAGTAATGTGTAATGAGCTGTACATATAACGTTGGTCTCAGTTTGTGCGTCAATCTGATTCAGCACACCACAGTTGACCTATGGCTACGACCATGGGTAAAAATCACCCAGCTGGATAGTGCACAGTTATTCGAGGCGACCTTTGAAACATAGATTATCTTCATACCTGCAAACCAGAGCCCTAATGGGTAAGGTGCACACATTGAGCAGTATTAGATGTATGTAGGTAATTATCTAAAATATTCGCTTTTATCCCAGATTGCAAGTCTTCCAAGCAACTGGTGTTAGTGAGATGGGTATCAGTGGGGTGACACGTGTGTAATAAATGCCAACTTCCTGTATTCTGGGTTTGTGTGGAGCTTTGCTTCCAAATTACAAATAATTTAGGCTTATCATCCATAATACAATTTCATGCTGCTGAAACCTCATTCGCAAGACAAGTTACAGTGAGTTGCAGTCAAAGCTTTATTTTGTATTTCATTAGTTTAATACGGCAATTAGACTGTAGCAACTATTGTTGTGTGACCCACAATTATAGTAAATAGCTTTTCGACACAATAAAGAATGCAACAAACTTGCTCCCTCTCACTAAAATCCAAATCAATTGGAGAATCTGAGCTGGCAAAGCAACATTAAGCTGTGTTCTCTCATACACAGGAACCTTTAGAGAAATCTGGTTATTTGTTAAAAATGGGAGGAAAAGTGAAGACATGGAAACGGCGATGGTTTGTCCTGAAAGGTGGTGAATTATTGTACTACAAGTCTCCAGTAAGTATGAGAAATGTTTCCATTCGTTACATGAATGGAACATGGTGTGTCAATAGGTATTTGTGATTAATTGTAGTGTCTTGTAGGCCCAGAAATGTACATTGAGCGTTGATTTACTTTTGTGCGGTTAACGTGATAAACATTGGACATCATTTGGTAAACACCGGATATTTTACTGTGCATCCAGCTGACAGAAACCCCACCAGAGTGTCCGTTAATCTTTAGAAATGGGCTTTCACATTCCCAAAAGTCAGACTGATGCTCGCTTCTCATTCGGTTTTACTATTGTATTGATCTGATTGTGCATCCTAGCATTCTGTTTGCTTTTAAGTTCCACCACCACGTGGGGTGTTGAAAAAATTGCTCATCCGGATAGTTGCACCTTGACGCTGCAAAGGATGCTTTGAGACATAAAGTGTCTCTCCTGCAGGGAATCCTGTGTACGTCACGCTGGCTCACGAGACATCAGCTCCGACCCAAGATCACCTTGGATCCGTGGTCCCAGTTGAACAAGCATTCGAACAGGATTGTTTGGAATGCCATTAAGAAATACCAGAAATCCAGACGCTACAGCTACATTTTTTTATTTTGGCACAAGGCCCTTGTAAATGAAACACTGCTGCACAACACTTACTTTCCCCTTATGTCTGAATACAGAGTGACGTGATCCGCAAGCCTCAGGGCCAGGTCGAACTCAGTACCTCGAGTCATATTGTCAGGGGAGATGGAAAGCAAACTATTCAGGTAATCCAACCAGTTGTGCTTATACTACAAAATGAACCCCCACTCTTCCTACTCCCCTCTCCTATCCTTACTCTCCTATATCCCTCTGTTACCTCTCCCTTACAAAGCTTTAATATTGCTTTTTTTTAAAAAAAATTCTTCAAAAAATAAACATCATAATACTGCAATAAAAAAAAGAAAAAATAAAGGTCAATAGAAATTAGTTAATAATGGCTGTTGTTTGCCAAGTCAAGCTAAAAATATGATCAACAGCTCGGTCATTTTTCCAGCTTTAGTGACTGAAAGCTTTGCACTTTAACATCCTTGTTAAATGTTTCTTCTGTGTTTTAATCCCAGCTGATTACTGAAAAGAGGACCTACTACCTGACTGCAGATTCGCCTAACATTCTAGAGGAGTGGATCCGGGTTTTACAGAATGTTTTACATGTGCAGGCTGTCAGCCCCCTCTTCACACAGCCGGATGTCAAGCCATCAGTCAAGGGCTTACTAACCAAGGTACACACTTCATTAGTTCCATGGAGTAGAATAATGTCTGCTAACAGGCAGAATTACAAGTAATCTGACTGGTTTGGGGATGCATATACAAGGAGCATTCTGTAATTCAAAGTACACTGCCTGTGCAAACCATTTTAGGTGGAAGGTTAGAAGTTGCAGGTGAATACTGCCAGCAATGGATGTTTATTTAAATGCACAAGAGCTGTTCGAGTGTTGAAGTGCTTTGGTCCTTTGATATCATCCTTCCACAACATAAAGCTAGTAAGATTACAACGTCTAACTGTTCATTAATTGACTTTTCAGCATTCTGTCATTGACCACCCTCACTGGTAACTCGTTCACAGGTTGTCTGAAGAATTACTTTGCAGTATCTGTTTTAAATTCTGTGCGGGCCATCAGTCTTGAACTTGTGCCCTCTTGTCCTGCCGAAATGAATCTAAATCTAAGCGCAGAAACAGAGCAGCATTCAGCTCCTCGCTGTCTAAAGAGTAGTGGCTTGACCCTTGATGCCATGATTGCTGAGTGAGACATTCTTCAAAGGGTTACTTTTAACTTTAGGTTCTTCAGAAAATATTCAATTTCTGACATAGGCAAGAGCTGGTCCTCAGGACTGAAGGTGTTTCTTTTGTGGACTTTTACCTAGACAGTTGTCCCTGTTCCTATTTTCTTGCCCTGGAAAATATTTGAAAACTCGTAATGCTTACAAATACCTGGCACAGTGGAAAAGCAATGATTTCAGTTTTTGCAACTTAGCAGTAATTAATTTCTGCCCAGGTAACATTTTTGAAGTATTGTGATTGGAGTAATTGAATCTTGCCAATGATCAGCCATCCTTCTCGGTGAATTGAATCACTTGCTTGTCACCCCAAACATGTCCCACTGCATATCAATTATGCAATGTGTTGCTGAGGTAGGGAACCTGATGATTTTTCCCTCATGATGTTTTCCTGATCTCCTCAGAGTGATTTTTAAAAATAGTCAAGAGTCAAAACTATCCAGGTAGCTCTCAGGCACCTCTCAGGGGTCATGTTGAGAGCAAGTTGTCTGCCTGCCCCTTCCGTTGAGAAGTGGCACAAGCTTCAGAGAAGAGCTACAGAAAGAAAAAAATAGTGCATTCCTGTAGCTCAGTGGTTAGAGCATTCACCTCGCAAGCAAGAGACCTGGGTTTGATTCCCAGCAGGGCGAAACATTGGGCAGGTTTCCTTACTCCGCACGTCTCTGCTTACCTAGTAGTAAGTAGGAACCCGGTTGTTAGTCGCTTGGTGGATCGCTTTTCTGGGGGTTATAATTCCTTCAAAACAAAATTATAATAATAAATTGACTCAATCCACAACTGTTTGTGGGACATTGCTGTGAGCAATTGGCTGCCGCATTTCACCAGTCAATTCACTGTACAGTATATTCTGTGAAGCATATTGAGACGTCTCGAAGACATGGTAAGGCGCTATATCAAATGCAAGGATAATTATGATTATAAATGACTAAAAAGGAGAGCAAAGGTTTATGACTGTTTATGGCATGAATCAGTGCCTTATTGTCCAAGGCTTCCATTCCATGTGCTAACCCAAACGATTGTTTTACAGGTCAAGCACGGCTACTCGAAGAGAGTCTGGTGTGCACTTGTTGGAAAAGTGCTCTACTATTTCCGTAATCAAGAAGATAAGGTATAGTTAAGGCTTTATGGTTCAACCATTAGTGTAAAACATTCTTACAAATGACACCTGTTCTACAGCCTTAACTTTCTACAGCTAATTTTCTCAAGTTGTTTTTTGGTTAATAAATAAGCTGAGTTAGGACTATTTTCCAAAATTTAAATGCAATGGTCTTGAGGTGAAGAATATGAAACATTTTGGAGCTCAAGTCTTTACTCACCACTGCCTCTATCGCCACAGAAATAATAAACCTTTCATCTTTCAATTCTTTTTCTCTTTTTTCTTCTGTTCTTTCTCCCTTCTTTCTTGTCTTCTACTTTCCTTTCTTACTCAGTTCGCTTCCTCCAACAATGTTGGTCTCCATTCCACACCAAAAAAGTTTGTTTCCTTTCTCACTGACCATTACTCGTACATCAGTTACCTGTTGCAATGTGCTGGTAACCTGATTATCTGTGCCACACCATCATATTATTGCTAGACTGCCAGTCAGAGTATTTCCATCTACAGCCAAAATACAGTTAATCACATCATTGATGGGTTTACAGAGAATTGCTTCCCTTAACTTAACATCCTCAAAGAGCAAGACACACAAGTAAACGCTTTGGGATAGTATTGCACCGTTTCAGCAGTTAATCTGTCAAATTTAATGCAGCTTTAAAATTGTTAGTAGTGCAATATGTGAGGTGGTACTTTTCAATCCAATTAAAGATTACAATGGGTTTGAGAAGTTTTCTTGCAAGTGAAAGGATGCTCATGAATGGAAGTTGTTGATTTGGCAACACAAAATAGTGGCTTTTTTCCCAGTTGAAATCTTGTTTTGGTTATTTTTCAGTTTCCATTAGGCCAGATTAATTTGCTGGAAGCTAGGATAGAGGAAGTGGACAGATCATGTGACTCGGATGAAGACTATGAAACAAGTGGGCGTAGTTTGCTGTCAACTCATTACACCATTGCCATTTACCCCAAAGAGCAAGGTCCTACCTACCTCCTAATTGGCTCCAAACATGAAAAGGTAAACTCACGATTACTTCATGAGTGCTCTTCATTAAAATGTGGCTAAATACCATTTTGATATTTGAGACCCAAGGCCTAAAATTTCACCTAAGCTTAGTTTGCGACCATTTTGTCTTAAAATATTAGGTAGAGGATTGTGTAGAGTCGTGGAAAATTGTTAAATTCAGTCGTAATTTGGAAGCCATTTTTTATTTGCAATTCCTTTTTTAAAAAATTCCAAATTAAAATTTAATTTAAGCATTTTGCATTAATGCTGAGCTATCCTAAAACGTTGTGACAAAAGGGACTTAAGTCGAAGCCTGGTGAAATTTCAGAGCCTTAGCTTTCTTCAGCATCGCCCAATAAAACAGTCAATGATTTGAGTAAACAGTCAAATGGCCATAGAGAATTTCATCTGACCCATCACCAGTGATAATAATAACCACTATGAACGTCTGTTCCATGAATGAGATTGCAAAGACTATCCTCATCCAAATTTTGTTGTAAAATCACACCACTGGGTAAATGTGTTGTTAGGTCAGTGTACAGGATTCAGATGCACATCTGATCTGCTTATATGTTAGAGTCTCTGGCACTTTTTTTTTACTGATTTAAAAGTAAGAATGATCCTTGCATTTGATATAGGACCAATTCAATTGGCTTTGCAGGAATACTAGAAACTGTAGCGAATCTGTATTTTGTAGGTGAAAATGGCAGCCAATTGGTACACAGCAATGTCTCACAAACGGCCATGAAGTCATTGACCAATTTTATCTGGGAGGATTCTTGGCCAGGATACAGGGAGAAATCCCCTTCTCTTTTTGCATAATAGCATGGAATCTTTAACGACCACCTGAATGGGCAGGCGGGACTTTGGTCTAAAATGTCATCCAAAGAACGACATCTCTGACAATATTGCACTCCCTCAGGACTACACTGAAGTGTCAGCCTAGACCACGTGAATTCAAAGTGCCAAAATGGGTCTTGAAACCGCAACCTTCAGAGGGGAAGGTGCTACCAACTGAGTCAGTCTGGCACCCATCTTTGAGCTGAGGAGATTAGAAATCACAGCTTTTACCATGCTGGTAATTTGTTGCGTTTCAACGTTTTGTTTCTTAATAGAACACCTGGCTCTACCAACTAGCTATAGCTGCGGGCAGCACTGATATAAACGTGGGTACCGAATTCGAAAAACTCGTTGGCAAATTGCTGAATGCAGACAGTGATCCCTGTAAGTTATTTCCCAGACATGTCAGATGAACACTCTCATAATTGCATTATCTCTAATGTTTCCTCTTTCCCCCCTTTCTTTATAATGAACTACGTTTAGCAACTGCTTATGATAGACCACCTAGTCTCTCCAGGTAGCTCAATATTCTTCAGTTTCAAGATATTATACTGGGAATACTAAATATGCCAGTGTCCATTTCTTTTGGTCATCCGGATTTCTGGTATATATGGAAACTCATCGTCGTGTATAAGAGTATCCAAACCAGATAGAGTTCAACATATGTATGCCACCTACACATGGAAATTTCCCTATGTCTGGAATGGAATGTGCACTCTCTCCTCTCTCCCAGTCGCACCCTGCTTACCTAATTCTGGGGAGTATTCGGCTCAGGTTGATAAGAGCCAAGGTTTAGAAACCACAGAGTGTGCGTTGGGGTCCTGTTGGAATTTAACCAGCTAAAATCATATATCTTACCAATGTCCATTATGCTCTACTGCTAAAAATAGAAGTCTTTTAATTACTTCAAGAAAATGTCTGAGAGAGAGTGAACCCAAGTAGTACCTTCAGATATGCCAGAGCAGCTGGAGAAAGGGCACGGATTAAGAGTTGTGAAGGGCAATTTCAGAGCAGAAGCCAGCAGAGAGGAAGTCATATTCTCTCCTCTCACCTCAACTTCCACGGCGCTGTCCTCAGTGGTTCAGATCGTACCTCTCACACCGCCTGCACTTCATCTCCTCAAACAGCTTCTCCTCTAGCACCCGGACCGTCTCGTGCGGTGTTCCTTAGGGCTCTGTCCTTGGCCGCCTCCTCTTCAATATCTAAATGCTCCCTCTTAGTGACGTCATCCACAGACATGGGGTCAACTTCCACATGTATGTGGATGACACCCAACTCTACCTCTCTGACTCCATCCTCGATTCCAGAACCACTGCTATCCTGACAGAATGTCTGTCAGACATCAAGTCCTGGATGAGAGCTAACTTTCTACAATTGAACATCAGCAAGACCGAGGCTCTCCTGATTGGCTCCCATCAGCGCCTCCACACCTCAAGCGCTGACAGCATCACTATCCATGGTTGCACCCTCCACCTTGCTAAGCCAGTCCGGAACCTTGGGATCTTGTTTGACCCTCAACTATCTTTTCTACCCCACATCTACGCCATGACCCGCTCCGCCTTCCCCCACCTCCACAACATCGCCCGACACCGCCACTGTCTCACACCACAGGCCCCAGAAACTCTCATACGTGCCTTCATTACATCGAGGCTTGACTATGCAAACTCACTGCTTGTCAGCCTCCCCAACTCCTCCCTCCACAGGCTGCAGATCATCCAGAACTCTGCAGCCTATGTCCTCTCCCGCAGTAGGCTCCGAGACCCTATCCTTGCCCAACTCCCTCCTAAACCCCATCACCCTGTTCGCTCCCTCCACTCAGCGGGCTCCGGCCTGCTTCACGTCCCCCACCTTGCTCGCCACACTATCGGCAGGCGGGCCTTCTGCCACTCTGCCGCCACCCTCTGGAACTCCATCTCGTCTCCTCCCTCGCCACCTTCAAGACCCACCTCAAGACCCTACTCTTCGAGCGTGCTTTCAATCTCCCTGCTTTACCCCCTACCCACCCCGACCCTCAGCTCGGGTCCGTAACTCTGTCCAACGCCTTGGTACATCCTCCCGACGTGAAAGGTGCCATACAAATGTAATTTTGTTGTTGTTGTTGGGGTTTGGGTCTTTCTCAACTCAATTTCAAAGTAGAATGGAACAAGCAGCCCAGCCGTCCCCTGTAAGCACAATCTAAGATAACTTCAGCAAAATTATCATAGTTTTTTTTCTTTATTTCTTTATTTAAGATTATTTTATGATTCTGTTCTGACTCTTTGCTTTGCCAGGCTCACAGACATGGAGACATCCAACTCTGTGTTACAGTAAAGATGGGATCACTTCTTCCCTAACTACACTGCCATCTGCAGCTTTACAGACTGAAGCACTCAAGCTTTTTAAGGTACTGTTTAATCATAGCTTACAGTGTGTCAGTTAACTTATTTATTTTAACACTGGGCTTGGACTAAGAAGGTTTGTTAGTTCAAATACCAGATACAGTTATGTTGTGTTTCTCATGGATGTCATTTATCCTGCTCTTTTCCCAATGAATATTTTTTCAACCCCAATTTGTCTCGTGCTCAAAGTCAGACGATAATCCTCTTCTTGGATCATTTTGCATTTCCCACTTCCTTAAATTTATCCTATAGTGCCTCTAAAATAGGTAGGATGGCTTTGCACCAAATTATAGGCAGTTTAGCAATATGGACTTGTGCCTTCTTGTATCTGGGTTCAGAGAAACTGCTCAGACTTATTTCATGCAGGATGTTTATAGCCAACAAAGAGAGGAGTTTCACAATATCGATATTTATAAAATTAAATGGATATTGTCATAGTTTATCATCTTGAAATGTTTTTTTTTATTTGCCAGACTTCCCAATTATTTATCAATGTTGCAATTGACGCCCCTGCCATCGATTATCATGTATCGCTGGGCCAGAGTGCTCTGCAAGTGTGTCTCACACATCCCGTGTTGCAAAATGAGATCTATTGTCAATTAACTAAGCAAACAAGGAAGCGACAAGCCCAGAACCAGTGTGGGCCAATACAGGTACAGTGAATAGTACAGTGGAACAAGAATTATCATGAATATATGCATGTTCTCTCTCAAAATATAAAAATATTGTAACATGTAAAATATTAAAATGTACTGTATGTTCCCTGTTAGTAAAATGCACGGCAAATTCTTGGGGAAAACCGATGCTCTACATTTGGAGAAATGATAAACTGGGGCTCTTTAGCCTTGAAAAGAAATGTTTGTTTTGGTGGGCGGGGGAACCAAATAAATTTTGTTTTTTAGGTTATAAGATTCCAAATGGTATTGAGAAAGTAACTGCAGGAATTGCTGTCAGGTATACCAAGTCAGTGGGATAAGAGGGCACAGTTTCATAATTGTAAATGGAAACTTGAGGACAGCTGGGAAATATTTATTTTCACAGAAGATAATTAACAACTGGAATGGGTTATCAGGATGGGTGTGAGGGCACTGTAATTATTTACTACAGTTTGATGCTGTAATTAGAAGACGGTCGGTATGCTGAACCATAAGATCAAATGAGCCACAGCTCCTTCTTCACTTGCACCTCTCTTGTGATGTGTGTTGCAGATACTCACTCGAGCTCAATTCTTGAGAGCCCAATTGAACAGTGAGTTTTAACAATATGTGTATTATGATAGCAGCACAGATCAGTTTGTGGAGTAATTCTGTAAATCACTAAGCACTACTGTTGGAGAATTGGTTGGTCTATGTAGCTTTCATGTTGTGCATGTCTTACAATGAATATTGTTGTTTCTCTTTAAGGGGTGGCAGCTGTTGGCTCTGTGTGTTGGTCTCTTCCTTCCTCAGCATCCGTTCCTCTGGCTTCTCAAGCTGCACCTGAAGAGAAATGCAGATCCTAGGTGAATAGAATGACAGTGAGGTCCTAGCAAAATGAAGACTAATATTGACCTCTTGTATAGGGATGGAAGTCCTTGGAACAGGAACTTTCTATTCAGAAGAGAATCTCAAAACAGTAAAATCCCATCTATAATTGTGCTACATTATATGGAGAAAAATCCAAACCTATACATATTTGAATGGATGCCTCCTCACAGGGGTTGGTTTTGCGCTGATTGATACATTTCCTAATCTTAGCAAGTGAGGATAGCACATCTGATTCACCTTTGGATAGTACATGGAGTCCTCTAGCTCAGTGGGTAGAGCACTCGCCTCGCAAGGAAGAGACCTGGGTTCGATTCCCGGCAGGATGAAATGTTGGGCAAATTCCTTACTCCACACACCTGTTTACCTAGCAGTAGGTAGGAACCCTGTTGTTAGTCGATTGGCAGACTGCTTTTCCAGGAGTAATAATTCCTATGGAAACAAATAATAATAATAATCAATCCACAACTGTTTGTGGGACACTGCTGTGGGCAATTGGCTGCCAAGTTTCGCCCACAAAATATACAGTCAATTCACTTTACAGTATATTCTGTGAAGCGCTTTAAGACATCTCAAAGTTGTGATAAGGCGTTATATCAAATGCAAGGATTATTATTATTATTACATTTACTGACATGCTTCCAGGGAGAGTGTATTCCATTCCAGACACAGTGAAATTCCCATGTGTAGATGGCATATATATCTGGGACTCTCAGTCTGATTCAGATACTCTCGCATTTGATATAGCACCTCATCACATCATCAATGTCTCAAAGCCCTTCACAGGATGTTGCAGGAAAGTTTTGTGACTATATTTATAAGTGAACACCGCAACCAATTTATGCACACCAATTTGTTCCCCAAACAGCCATGAAGTGAATGATCAATTTAATCTGGAGTATTGTTGGCCAGGACAGTGAGGAAAAAAACTCCCTTTCTTTTCAAATAGTGTCAAATAGAGATCTTTAACGCCCACCTGAACAGGCAGACCTGGTCGCTATTTAACATCAGATCCAAAGCACAGGACTCCCCTCACATTGTATTGGAATGTCAGCCTAGACTGTGAGTTTAAATTCCTGAACCCACAACTTTCTCACTCGAGAGGCGAAAGTGCTTTGTTGAGAATTATTAACAATACATGTGGGTTTCAGTTGTAAATTATAATCTACAAATCTATACTACAAAGTAGAGTAATAAATAAGATCAGTGATTTCTGGACCAAAATGTTAAGCTCTTACCTTTCTCAAATTGTAGAACTGAAATCGGAAAGTATGCCATTTACTGCCAGCGATCATTGGAGAGAACTCAACAGAATGGAGACCGTGAAGCAAAGCCTTCCAGGATGGAAATCCTGTCCATTCTCCTGAGAAATCCCTATCACCATTCCTTACCTTTCAGTGTTCCTGTACATTTCATGAATGGCACATACCAGGTGGGTATCGTGATAATTGAGGAATAGAAAAAGAATATACCCCTTAGGGGAGAAATTCCACTTGTGTGGCATTTTAGAACATTCAGAATTTAACAAATTGTTGAAATCAAATAATTCTTAATTTTGAAGTCGATTTTCTGGAAGTTCTTAAAAGAAAATTGTAGAACTCCCACTTCAAAATTGTGCTTATGAATTTGCCATATTCTGGACACTCCAACATGCTCCACAAATAGAGTAAATCTAGCCAACAGGTGGAATTTCTTTCCATTTGTCTTGTTGACCCATATGTTTCTGTCCTTAAATTGTAAGAAGATGATCAATAGCCTAGGGACAAAGTCATTTCAGACTTATGTAATTTTTTAAGCTATTTTAACTAACATTTCTGAATATACAGGTGGTTGGTTTTGATGCCTCTACCACAGTGGAGGAATTCTTGTACACTCTGAACCAAGACACTGGCTTGAGAAAACCAGCACAGTCTGGATTCTCTCTATTCACAGACGATCCCTCCGGGAAGGATCAGGAGCATTGCCTTCAGGGAAACATAAAGGTAAGGTGGGGCACTGAAAGATGCTGGAGACTTTTCTGATCGACTGACATGTTGAGGAACAGTTCATGTTAAACATAAATCCTTGTTATGGAGCTCGCTATCAGAGGGAAGATAGTGTGATAGTTTCAGGAATTGTTTTTCGATAGTAACAAATTTTATTCTTGCTATTTCCTCATCTAAATAAAAACAGCTCAATGAAAGCTTATTTTTGTTAATTAAAACGTAACAGTATCAGGCAGGAGTACATCATTGATCTACTGTTTCTAACCTATCCATCCACTTTGTCAAAATATTCCTTTGTCACATCTTTCTTATCAACTAACCCTGAATCCTTCTGATTTCAGGAATTTGTTTGGCAAGTCCCTTCAGTGCTCCTTGCTTCACAATCTGTGCTGGTAGTTTGTTCCACATGTCTATCACTTTTTTACTAAGCAAAATTCTGCAGCAAGTTGTAGTTTCTAAAACCGATTTGCTTTATAATCTACAACAGATTCCAAGAAACTCTTGACATTTTTATAATTCTTCAAAATTGAAATATTACCTTGTTCTTCCACAGCACATTCGTTTTAAAATAACCTTTTATTATTTCCAATCTTGGCTTCTTCAGATTAATTTCAGACACATGTGTATCACCTATTGCAGCCGGGACTTGCTTTGTGTTGAAATTGTGTTGAGGTGGTGTCAGTCACTCAGATAGAATTTCTTTATTCAGATTTGCGACATCATTTCCAAATGGGAACAGGCTTCCAAAGAACAGCTACCTGGCAAGTTGGAGGGAACACGAACTGTCCGGCTGACTTATAAAAACAGGTATTGACCATGCGATTTTAAGATGCAAAATCTACTTTATCATCTCTCCTAAAACACTTCTGCTATGGAGTTTACAGATATGTTTCTAGCTCGTGACTCTTTTCTGATTATTTAATGATATTCAAATGGCAAATTAGGAAATTTTTGCCAATTTTGTCTGAAATATCTTTTTATCTGTTCCAATCAAAAAATCAACAACTTGCTCTTTATTTACTGTGGGTACAGTGCGTTTTCGTATATGATATGTTCTGAATAGGGGAGAAAGAACTTGTTAAATCATCTCAAATTCTTCTTGTTCCAGAGACCTGGCTGAAACGGTAGCACTATCGCTTCCAAGAAGCTAGGGGTTCAAAGGCTTAAATTTTAAAATTGTGTAGATTTGCGGAAACATTTTTAAATTGGCCTTAAGTTTGAAAGCTGTTTTTTTTGGGGTAGCTCATGAAAAGAATTGACTTCCAAATTAAGACTTAATTTAAGAATTTTCCACAATACTGCACCGTCTTAAATTCTAAGACAAAAGGTGTTACAGGATAAGACGGTGAAATTTTGGGCATTAGAAGGCTGGTTGTGTTCTCTGAGAGATTTTGGATTGCTGAGTGGAATGGCTGGGTTTAGTTCTTGCCAAGTTATCCTTGATGGTGATTGACAGACTGTTATTGTCATGTATCTGCTGCAAGATAATATACTGACTTCACATTGCTTTTACAGGCTATACTTCTCTACACAAGCTCGTGGGGAGACAGACAGAGAAAAACTGTTACTGATGTACCAGACAAATGATGAAGTTGTGAACGGACACTTCCCTGTAAACAAAGAACTTGCTTTAGAAATGTCAGCGCTCGTAGCCCAGGTAAGCCTTGAATTGTCAGGAGTGGACCTGACCTGCTGCTGAATTCCATCTTAGCTCCTTTGCTCAATGTTGATTGCATTAATGAAGAATGTACATTGGCCACACACAAAATTTGCTAGTGATGTGTCATGAAGCCCGCTCCCTCTACATAGAGCCTAAAGCCTACAGATCACCAAGTCTATACCCATTGAAAAGCCCTGAACAGAGGCTTCTTGAACCTTAAAGGAAATTGAGCAAAAATTGAATCATCAAAATCCCCTCTGTCTACCCTATCCTTCCCCACTCGGACAAATGTTTAGGCCCAGGATGCTTCTTCATTTCATTCTCCACCTATTCTTATATCCTCCAGTACAGTTCTCAAGCAATAAATATCTAATTTTTAAGGACAAAAATTCAGATGTAGAAAAAGATCTGATTCATTATGTACAATTTCCATGTGAATGTAATTTCCTTTTTCCATGAACCTAAACCCCTCGATGTATTCCTACTGTATCACACATTCCAGCCCCTGTCATCTTGGCATTAACGATCTACCCAGTTTTCTGAAAGTATTTTCTCCAAGCCCTTTTGGTCTGGAAATGTATATATTATAATTAACAATAATAACTTGCAGTTATATTGCGTCTTTCACAAAGGGTTATAACCAGTAGTGCTTCACACAGACTGGATGGAACATCAGGAAGGTGAGAGAGGGGAAGATGATGGAAGATTTGGTCAAAGAGAGAGGTTTTGAGAAGAGGTTTTGAAAAGTGGAAAGGAGAAGTATTTAAAAGTGGAGAGGGAGATTACATTAAATTAGTTCAATTAGCACAGAGCGGGTACCGTTCATAGGATCTTTCGGTTCTCGTTTTGAACTATTTGCTATATCTGCTATCTGTGTATGTTCCACTAGGTGGAGTTTGGAGACTTTGAACGTCCTTTCTCTACACCAGGAGGACAGATCAGCACTCAGTCCAAATCAAATCAGGCTCTCAAGCAAGTCATAGAGAAATTCTACCCCAAAAGATACAAACAAGGCTGCTCCGAGGCTCAACTTAAGTAAGTATGAAGCTTTCCACACTTTGTCAGATGCGTCTTTGTATTTAGAGCATTGTTAGGAAACACCTATTATAATAATAATATTACTGTAGAAAGTAGAAATAGATGGGTTTACACAGCAGTTATTTTATTTGGGTTGCGTGTTTAAAAGGAATTATCAGCCTTTCACTGCTAATGATGCAAGTGTCCAGTCACCATTCATGGCTTATAAATATAAAAAAAACTTGCATTTATATAGTGCCTTCAATTGGGGTCAGGTCTCCAAACGCTTATGAGATACTGTCAACATTTATCGAAAAGATTATTTGAATGAAAAAAACTAAAACGTATTCACGTATGGGAAAGGAAGTGTGCTGCTGCTCAGTCCTGCTGTGCATTTACTTACAGAGCGCTCCGTCAGCGACTTTCTACTAAATGGATGGCTCTGAGGGGGAGGGCTGCTGCCGACTGTGTCCGCATCTACCTGACTGTGGCTCGCAAATGGCCATTCTTCGGAGCAAAACTGTTTGCAACAAAGGTATGATCTCTGGGGTAAAGGAGTCTCTGGAGTAGTCAAAGGCCTTTGGGGGGACCTGCTGCACTACTTCAAGTGGATGCCCACTGTCCATTCGGCAAGTTACCTCTTCAAAAATGAATCAAATTGGTCATGTCAGATGATTAAGGAGGAGGTGGCTGGAAGCAAAGTTCAAGAATTTGTTTTTAGGCTGGTTTTGAAAGCGAAGACCGAGATGAAGTGGAGGGAATTTAGGAGCGTTCCAGAGAGTGGGAGCAAAGTGGGCGGTGATGTTGCACTGTTCTAATACATTAATGCCTGTGTGGGTGAATGATCAGAATTGTGTCTGGACATTTCTGCTGGAGGGAAGGAGAACAAGAAAGTGCCAATTTTTCTCACTATTCAGTTCTCTGGTAATTCCCAAGCCTCTACTTGGTGCTTTTTCTGTGGCCAGATGAGATCAGAAACCTGCTGAATGGAAAAGCACGGATATAAACCTGTGTTACATCAGACCACAGTGCAGTAACTGGAAACACTGCTGGAGATCTAGACTTTGGACTGTAAACATTGAACTCATTCATTCAGTTATTCAACAGTCAATAGTCAACAAGAAGAAAATTCAGTGATACATTGAATGATTTTGTACTCAGTCTTTGGCTTAACACCATGTTCTGGTTTGATTGTGTATCACAGTTCTCCTTTCTTTCTGTTCCATAGCCCATTGCTCCTCCTGCACCATCTGATAATGCACCAGTGTGGCTTGTTGTGCATGAAGATGGAATTAGCATATTGGAATACAGCTCAATGGTAAGAACGATAGCTTTGACATTACATTACATCTTAACCATTGTTGTTATCACTGTTCCAAAGTGACACCTTCTTTCCTGATTTCTCCACAGCGTCTGACAGCAACATATTTGTACAAGGTTATCATGACCTTCGGAGGTTGTCGTGATGACTTCATGCTTGTGGTTGGGCAAATGATGGACATTGTTCGTGTGAAAGATAAACCAACAGAAAAGCTGTTGTTTGCTTTGTCAAAACCAAAGGTTTGTCCGGTTCTCTATTTTAAATTTATAACAACTAAGGCTTGCTCATCTGTGTCTAGCTCTTCATGTGATACATGTCTTTTTAGAGCTAATCAGAAGAGTAGATTTTGCAGTGTTGTACACGTATCTAGTATAACAAATACTTGCATTCACGGAATTACAGGCAATATATTAGCATGGATTGAAGAGTGGCTAACGGGAAGAAAACAGAGAGTAGGGATAAACAAGTCCTTCTCAGATTGGCAAAATGTGACTAGTGGAGTACCACAAGGATCAGTGCTTGGGCCTCAACTATTTACAATCTACATCAATGATCTAGACGAGGACATAGAACTTAAAATATCTAAATTCGCAGATAATACTAAGCTAGGTGGGAGAGTAAGTTCTGAGGATGACATAAAAAGATTGCAAAGGGATATAGATAGGCTAGGTGAGTGGGCAAGAAGGTGGCAGATGGAATATAATGTGGGGAAATGTGAAGTTATTCATCTAGGCAGTAAAAACAAAAGTAGATTATTTTCTAGAGGGGGAGAGACTAGATAGTGTTAGTGTTCAGAGGAATTTGGGTGTCATTGTACACCAGTCACAAAAACAACAATAACAACAAGATTACATTTGTGTAGCAGCTTTCATGTCGGGAGGACATTCCAAGGCGCTGGACAGTATACAGCATTTCAGACCCGAGCTGGGATCAGGGAGGGAGAAGAGAGGGTGGGGAGAGGGTGGTGACCGAAGGCATGGTCGAAGAGGAGGGTTTTGAGGCAGGATTTGAAGGAGGCTAAGGAGGGGGCGAGGCAGAGTGATTGGGGGATGGAATTCGAGAGGTTGGGGGCAGAGTGGCTGAAGGCTCTCCCGCCAATGGTGGGGCGAGTGGGTCGGGGGACGTGGATCAGGCCGGAGCCGGCTGAGCAGAGGGAGTGGGCGGATTGGTAGGGGATTAGTAGGTCACAGAGGTAGGGTGGGGCGAGGCCATGGAGGGCTTTGTAGGTAAGGACCAGAATCTTGAACTGGATCCTCTGAAGGATAGGGCACCAATGGAGTCGGGCGAGAATTGGGGAGATGGGGTCACGGGAGTTTGGTGCGGGAGAGGACATGGGCTGCATAGTTCTGGATTATCTGAAGCCTGTGGAGGGAGAGTTGGGAAGGCCAACAAACAGGGTGTTTGCATAGTTGAGCCTGGAGGTGATGAAGGCATGAACAAGAGTTTCAGCGGCCTGAGGAGTGAGGTAGTGACGGAGTCGGGCGATGTTACGGTGATGAGGGAAGGCAGAGCGGATCATGGCTTGGATATGGGGAAAACCAGTCACAAAAAGTTAGTATGCAGGTACAGCAAGCAACTAGGAAGGCTCATGGCATGTTGGCGTTTATTGCAAAAAGAATACAAGAGTAGGGAAGTCTTCCTGCAACTGTATAGGGCCTCGGTGAGACCGCATTTAGAATATTGTGTGCAGTTTTGGTCTCCTTATTTAAGAAAGGACATACTCGCCTTAGAGGGGGTGCAGCGTAGATTCACTAGGCTGATTTCTGGGATGAGGGGGTTGACCTATGAGGATGGGCTGAGTAAACTAGGCCTATATTCTAGAGAATATAGAAGAATTAGGAGTGATCTTATAGAAACATATAAGATTCTTATGGGGCTTGACAGAATAGACAGTGTGAGACTGTTTCCCCTGGTAGGAGAATCTAGAACTATTAACTATTAAGTCTTAAGAATAAGTGTCAGCCTTTTCAAACAGAGTTGAGGAAACACTTCTTCACTCAGAAGGTAGTGAATTTATGGAATTCTCTACCCCAGAAGGCTGTAGATGCTCAGTCCTTGAACATATGCATGGATTGTTATTATTATTGCAGTGTACATTATTAGAATTGATGTGAATATCCATTCAGATTACAAACTAACTCAATTGGTTATGTTGGGATCTCAAAAGGTTTGTTTCCCTTTGCCTTGATATGCAGCACAATGTAATTTAATATCCTGTGTACAATCTTGTGGACTCTGTTGCCTTTTTTTGCAAAGCTGAACATAATTTAATTACAACAAATGAGAAATATGACAACTAGTTCTTAAGTAAATATAATGTACTGCATTACATGATGAACATCTCATGTTGGGTTAGGTCCTGCAACAGCAGATTATGTAAAGCTTTCTGTTGGTGGTTAATGAACACACAAAATCTAATAGGAATGGGTCTGGTAAAACTACAGTCACCCAAAGTGTGATAAGTTTCTTGGCCCATCTTTTTAAAATTGATCTGCCAAAGATTATTCTAGGTTCCTAAACTGCTTTCTTTCAGATCTTTCAGGTGATCTTTGAAATCAGTTGTATCAGCACCTTGGCATGTACCCCTGACATGAAAGTTGCTGTACAAATGTAATTTGTTGTTGTTATATTTTTCTATCAGATCTGTGTGCTTAGCCCACATTATATGTGTGTGTGCACAGCACAGCAAAAAATAGTTTATTCCCATTTTTAGAAATTTAAGTCAACATGATTGACTTAGGTCAACTACCAATCAGCCGCTTGATTAAAATTATGTGTTTTCTTTGGTGTGCTAAATTGCTAATATCTCTTAATCTTCTTGCTTATATATATATATATATATATAAGAAGCCTCCTCCGAGTCCTCCGCTCCACCCTCAGCGGCCGTGCCTTCAGCCACTATGCCCCGAGGCTCTAGAACTCCCTTCCTCACTCCCTTCGTCTCGCCCCCTCTCTTCCTATTTTCAGGTCTCTGCTGAAGACCTTTCTTTTCGACCACGTCTTTGGTCACCTTCCTCCCCCTCCCCCTGGCTCAGTCCCGGGATCCGTTACTGTGAAGTGCTCTGAGACGCCGTCCGGCGTGGAGGGCGCTATATAAATCCAAGTTATATAAATATATATATTATTTATACTAATAAAACAACAATGTCTGTCTGTGTGTCAGCCAAGATCTCAATAACCAATTGACTTAGAGACATGATTTATACCTAATCGGAAAGGTCTTGTTGTTGGGAGTGTCATGGGGATTGTCATTCCACCTCGCCCCCTCCTCAGCCTCCTTCAAGTCCCGCAACAAGACCCTCCTGTTCGACCATGGCATCGGCCATCCTCCTTCCCCTCCCTCCCTTCTCCTCCCCCTGACTCCAGCTCTGGTCTGAAATGCTGTACACTGTCTAGCACCTTGGGATGTCCTCCCAACGTGAAAGGCACTATACAAATGTAATCTTGTTGTTGTTGTATTCAAAACTGAGATTGATAGATTTCTAAAGGATAGAGGGATTAAGGGATATTGGGATAAGGCGGGCAGACCGAGTTAGGTTAGAAAATCAGCCATGATCTTATTGAATGGTGGGGCAAGCTCAAGGGGCCGAATGGCCTACTCCTGCTCCTAATTCCTATGTTCCTATGTCATTTTGTATTGTAATGTATTCTATGTTTATCTCCCTAATTTACACCACAGACTACAGCAGGGAAAATCCCATTTTTACTCTTCTGTAAAATGGCTATTTTTAAACCTCTTTCCATGATTTAAATTCATACCAGAAATAGCCCATATACTGTATTTGCAGCTCAATGTGAAAGATAGAGCTGAAGTTCTATTTATTTATGTTGAAAAAGAATATTGTGCCATGAGTCTGAACTCATCTTGCTTTGTTACAGATTCTTGAGATCACTTTGCTGATAGCTGGCTACATCAATGGCTTCCAACAGCAGAAAGCGGCAGTTCATCACATGTCACTTCCATCTTCACTATCTGTCCAGCCGGGAGGACAGAAATCCAAGGATATGGGGAGCCAACCATTACTTTCATATACCAGGCAAACCAAAGGACCAACATTGTTATAAGCCGGTATTGAATGTTAGTACTGAAACTCAAGGGCATGTGCTTTACAAAGTCACATCAAAACACTATACAGATATAAATATATAAATTGCCAAATAAAATGCTTCACTGTTAGCGCACATAGGTTCTGACCATGATATTGAAGTAAATATTGATTGTGTCTGTAATTTAATCAGTATCAACACAGGGTCCCTTTTTTCCCCAAAATGTAAAGGTATTGAATCAAGGAAAACAACAATGAAACAATTGGGTTTATCTAAAGTAAATAACAGGCATTGGGCCATCAGGAATTTTTGAGCCGTAGGATTGTAGAGGATCCTGGATTGAATGCTTGGTCTGTTCCGAATTAACTGATATTTAACTGATCTCAGCTGGAGGCAGCAATTGGCCTCAAAGGCCCAGAAATCCTGGTTCTGATCGTTCTCTTTTATTGAGATCTGCTGCAGGGATGTGTGTGAAGGGTGAGTGAGGACATGGTGATTGACCCTTCCGGTTGAATAACCTGCCAACATTCACTGTCAAAGCTCCCACATGAGTTATGGTTAAAGTACTGTAATTCATGGAACAGCATATTCCATCCCCTCCCCACCGCTGTGCAAGATAAAAAGGAGACTTCGGGAGGGGAAAGGGAGAAAATTGTTGAATTAAACTGACAAGAAAATTAAAAACAAATATCATTGGCATCATATCAAAGGGAATGATAAACATCCAGGGTTTGAGTGTTGTATTGGTTACTTATTAAACCTGCTGTGCATGTCTAAAGCTTATAAACCGAAAAGTAAATACGCTACTCAGAACACTTTGTCGGGAAGGGGACAATCTGTGGCTTTATTTATTTGTGGATGAAGAAGGCCCTTTGTCCCATCCAATTTCATCCTTCCATAACACCTACTGTTCCCCATCACAGCATCAAGCTGCCTTTGAAACAGTATGGTTCCTCGTCAGCTACATGTCTAAAAATGTCAAGCTTTGAAAATGAGAAACTAAATCACAAGGAAGAATTAACCATAGCATTATGTCCATTAAAAGGTAAAATTTGATCTTACTTTAATAAAAATGGAAATTTAAACCAGTGAAGTCCTGTATCTTAGTGGTTAGAGCGCTTGCCTCGCAAGCGAGAGAACCTGGGTTCGATTCCCGGGCAGGGCAAGATTTTGGCTAAGTTTCCTTACTCCACACGTCTCTTACCTAGTAGTAATCAGGAACCTGGTTGTTAGTCGATTGGTGGATTGCTTTTCCAGGGGCTAATAAACCCTTCAAAAAATAATAATAATATTTGGTCACTCAATCCACGACTGTTTGTGGGATACTGCTGTGCGCAATTGCTGGCGCATTTTGCCCACAAAATATAGTCAATTCACTTTACAGTATACTCTGTGAAGCTCTTTGAGATGTCTCGAAGATGTGATAAGGCGCTATATCAAATGCAAGAAATATTATTAATATGTGTTCTACGCTGGCTGTTGTAGGGATATCTTGCATATAATGACGAATTTTGGCATCACTCAGACATGCAATGGTATTTGCTTCTGTTTTATGCAATAAGTTCAGGGAAAATGTTGAAACCAACTCGTCAAATTTGCCATAGAATGTTGTATGGAATTTAACTTTCAAAAAACGCAGTCATTGTTTCATTCGGAGCCAAAAGTAAATGTTTTTGATATAGTTATCAGGTAAGAACTGCTGTTCATAGAGTTCCACCCTGAGGTGGCACTGATATTGCCAGAATTCAGTGTACAATGTATATTCCCTCAGTCATAATATGTCACAACCAGCAGCACATAGGTCAGAACAGTTGAGAGAGGATAGTGTTTATGTTTATATGAGTGAATGTTGAGTGAGGATAGGGGGGATCACCTTGATTATGATTGCTGCTCCTCCCCAGTTGAATAGCCCATCGACACAGTTGAAAAAATGTTGTTTTCCACTGAACTCTGAGCACTTGTATTTGATAGGTCTGTTAACTCTGCATTGCATGTATCCTTGGATTTATTTGGCATCTTACCAGTTAGGATCTATTCTTATCTCTTCTTATCAAAGCTTCTGGATCAGATATTCACTCTTTTATAAAGAGTTAATCAACAGCATTAATGGTTGGCTGGGAGTCTATTCCATGTATTTCCCACTATTTGAGAGAAAACAATTGTTCCAGTCTCTAGTTTCATGGAAATTTCAACAAAGATGGAGGCTATTTGCCCAGTGTGTGTCTGCTGTACTAGCTCCCTCCACGAGAGCAATTTAATACCATTTCCCTTTCCCGAGGTACCTTTTTTATATCTTCAATTCCCCCCGATTTTTTTCTGAGTCCAACATTTTTCCAATCACAATTGTTATATTTATCTTTTAGGGGAGTCCTGTGGCTTAGTGGTCAGAGCATTCACCTCGGCAGTGAGAGGACCTGGGTTTGATTCCGGGCAGGGCGACATGTTAGGCAAATTTCCTTACTCCACCTGCCTTGTTTACCTAGCAGTAAGTAAAGTATGTACCCGGTTGTTAGTCGATTGATGGATCGCTTTTCCGGGGGTAATAATCCCTTCAAAAAAAAGGTTTTTTTTAAAATGTGGTCGTTCTAATCCACAACTGTTTATGGGACCCAATTGGTTGCCGTGTTATGCCCTCACAATATACAGTCAATTCACTTTACAGTATATTCTGTGAAGCACTTTGAGACGTCTCGAAGACCTGATAAGATGCTATATCAAATGCAAGAATTATTATTATTACACCGCTCATTTTAAAAACCTTAACCTTGTCCCTTTTCAATCGTCTCGTATTCCAAGAGAATTGGTTCAGTAACTTTGAATCTATTTTCATACTATGTTCCTGAATCATCTGAGTTCTTCTCTGAAATGCATCGAAACTCTTCAAAGATTGGGCCCCCAAATTATACTCAGTATTTTGAGTATGACTCACCTAGTAAGTTATGCAAGGTTAAGCTAACGTGGTAATCCGTTACCAATGGAGATTAAACTTATTTAGTCCTATTAACTTTCATACGCTCTTAGTGACTGATCAGTAATCACAACTTTTTTCCACCTTTGTTAATGGACACCCATTCACACAGAATTTATATTTAGTACCTAATCATCGTATTATAGCTTTCTCTGATCTTAAGAATAGAACATTCCACAATTATGTGTTCATTACAAATGAAGATGAAATTCCACTTGTATTACTCAGCAAGAGAAATAAGATGAAATTTTAAAGTTTGGGTATGCCAAGCTTATCTAGCTGAGTTTTTTTGTAAGAAAATTGGTACTTTTTGCTCTGCTGTGATTTGCGATGATGTTCAAAGACTGACTAAAATACATCGTGAATATTGCTTTCTACTGTTTCATAATGAACAATTCTCATTAAGAATATTACAGTATACAAGTATTATACAAATTTGCCTTCATTTAAGTTTGTTACACAAATTCATTTACATTTGCTTTTGAAAATAGAGAATCAAACTATATATTATTTTTATTTAAGGAATAGTTCATAACTTTTGTTTGAGATGATCTGGCATACATCTCTGCACAGTTGTATCATCTTAAGAGGTACCTTTCTGTGACTTTTTTGGGAATCTTATTTAATGCACAGACAATGTAAATGTCCAATATTCCATTATTTATTTTGCTATATATTTTTTAAGAATTAATATGCAAACTGTATATTTTACCGAGTTATTTAATGTTTAATAAACCTGCACTGCTAATTTCAACCTACTTTGTATTTTGGAAAAAATTCAATTACATACGCAATTTCCTGGAGATGTTTACAGTGATTGAATACTTTGAGCATAGATTTGCATGATCAGTCAGGGGTCCTTTGCTCATAAATGTTTACATAGCGTATGCACCAAGTACAAGATCATTACGATTCACTGTAAGGATTATATACATTTCATATGGTAAAATTGCCTTCTAATATTTGCACTTCAAAATCTCATTAGCACACTCAGTAAGATGCAACCTTGGACCACTGATCCTATAAATCTTACATTCTTAATTTATGATTGTAAATATACATAGTCTTGTTTAACCTGATTTCTTTGCAAACTATCCAATGTTAAATAAGCCTTCCTCTCATTCTCTTTGTAGAAAACACAAATGTCAGTGTACATGGGTTGATACATACATATATATAACACATCTGCAATCTATTCTCTTCATCTAGAATTGGGGCTTTGAAAAATACTGGTGATCTGACACTTTAGAAATTGCTTTCATAATCTTGTAATACAAGCAAACCAGGCATTTGTAAAGAGCATTCAGTAGAGTAACTATAGAAGAATTTAATATAAAGTGCAAGATCACCCCTTTACAAAAGGGAAGAATTAGAACAAGAATTTACTAAAAGCTTGTGGCTATTGACAGAAGCTCGGCAGGTAAGGCTGAACCTATATTTGCAATCGAATGTTGCCATTTTTTTAGTGTTTTCAATACTGTCCCCTTTTATAATGGATTAGAACCAGTTCTTCACAAAAGGTATCCTTATCCATCTTAAGACCTGAGAATCTATTCTGTATTATCTGCCTTTGCAGAAAGCACATCTGAATGTTAAACAATTTCCCACACTGTGCATTGTATGCTGGCAATAGCCAACCTTTCTTCAAATAGTTACAGTATGACAAAACAGACCAGAGTTTATACTGAAAATCCATTCTACTTTATTTACAAAACATAAATACAACAAAAGTATATCATAATTACAACAATTTTCATTTATATAGTGCATTCCACATTAGAACTGCACAAAACACTTGACAAATGTAGTGGTGGACACTAAAAGAATTAAATTTTGAATTGTTGGCCAAAGGCACAGTTGAAAATGTATATTCTTAGGAGTTTTTTTCAAAGCAGAGGGTGATAGCATTGCAGAACTGGTTTTGGAAGCCTTTTAGGCAGAATCAATACAACAACAACAACAACAAGATTCCATTTATAGAGCGCCTTTCACGTCAGGAGGACGTCCCAAGGTGCTGGACAGTTGGGTCATGACCCGAGCAGAGGGGAAATGGTCAGGGTGAGGGGAGGGAAGGGAGGGAGAGAGGAGGGGGGAAATGGTCAGGGTGAGGGGAGGGAAGGGAGGGAGCGAGGAGGAGGAAGAGAGTCGAGAGGGGAGTTAAAACATAGAATGTTTTAACAAAAGAGACAGATATTCGATTAGTAACGTTATTAAAGGGTATGGTAAAAGCCAAGGCATTGGGATTAAAAGATTGATCAACATCTAATAAATTGCCAGAATGGGATCGATAGGTTAAATCTCTCATTCCTATCAGTTGTTGGAAAGGAAAAAGATTGGTGGATAAGACGGATACATCTGAAAGTAAAAAAACCTTAAAACCTTCAATAAATCAATCACCAACGGGTATACTGTCTGAAGTTTCGCGTGACCCTTTATCGGCAATGACTGATTTTCCGGGAAACAGAATATTTGTTTTGTGACTCTCACTTCGTGCATTGATTGCTTGAAAAGAGCAATCGTCTCCTCGTTCTCCCGAGTCCGAAATTGTCTTGGGCGTTTTTAAAAAAAATCAATACAAAATATAAAATTGCATCTGTATAGCGGGAGGACGAGCCAAGGCGGTCCAATCCACTTTTTGACAGATCTGTTGCAGAAAGGGCGTAGATGGTATTTTCGGATAAATGTGTATTTATTGATAAATAATCCTTGCGTGTGTGTGTGTGCAACGCATAACAACAACAACAACAACTTGCGCTTATATAGCGCGGTAGCGTCTCGGGAGCGCTTAAGAGTGGCAGAGTGTGACTCCGAGCTGGGGGCGGGGGGGGAGGCGGCCGTAAGTGTGGTGGAAGAGCCACGTTTTCAGGCGGGAGTGACCATAGGCAAAGTCAAGGGGATACGTGTCGAGGCAGGACTTGAAGATGGAGGTGGTGGGGGGGAGAGGGGGGAAGGAACAGACAGAGGAACAAAGACAACAACCCCTCTTATCTCTGGGACATCCAACACACACACACACACACGTGTGAGACTGAGAGTGGAGCTGAGAGTGGAGCGTCACGTGCTCCGGTTCAGAGCCGCCAATCAAACCTCGGGGAAAAGAGGGCGGGTGGGCGGGGCGGAGGCCCCCCCACCTCCCCCCGCGTCACTCGGCGGGCGGGTCAGAGGTGAGCGGCTCGCCCCGCCCCCCGCCCCGCCCCCCCAGCTCGCGGGAGGGAGGGAGGGAGGGAGTGACAGAGGCGGTTTGAAGCCGGAGAGTAACGGACGGTCCGCGCGGCTCCGCCTGCGGTTGACCGACAACATCCGACACTGGTTGTGATTGACGATAACAACTGCCCGAGAGAGAGAGAGAGAGAGAGCAGAGGGGACTCACTGGAAGGTGAGTAACGTGTTGATTGTTTTCCTGTCCTCCCCCCCTCCCCTCAGCCTGGGTTTAGGGTTTAGGGTTACGGTGGGGGGGGGGGAGTGGGGGCGGTTTATAAGGTGATGCTGTTGGAGCCGAGACCGTTACCGGGGGAATTGTTGCTGAGCGACTGTCGGCCGCGCCCACCGCCCCAAATGTGGTTATCTTCGGTCGTTGTCGCACGGGGGGGGGGGGGGGGGGGAGGGGAGAGGTCAGACTCGCTCACAACAACAACAACAACAACAACAACAACAGATTGCACTGTCAGGTCGGGAGGACGTCCCAAGGCGCCGGGCAGTGATCATTAATAATAATAATAATAATGACGATAAATAGTCCTTGAATTTGATAACAGCGCCTTTATCGCATCTCCGAGGCGTCTCAAAAGACTTATACTGTAATCCGAAAGCCGAACGGAAGTCGCTGGGAACACACGGAGAGGTCGGGCAGCAACGATGGAGAAAGGAAAGTGAGTCAACCGTTTGGGGTCCACGACCTTTCGTCAGACCCCCCCCCACCCCCACCACCCCACCCCCGTCAGACTGGAATCCGATCTTGGGGTTGGAGACCTGAGGGGTGCAGGTGGGAGGGTGGCCGAAGCCACGATCGAAGAGGATGATCTTGAGACAGGTCTCGGAAGCGGACGAGGTGAAGAGGCTCCGGGACGGAGATCCAGAGATTGGGGGCAGAAAGGCTGAAGGCCTGGGGTGGGCAGGGCGGGAGACATGGAGCAGGCCGGTGCCGTGCCCACCAGGGTGGGCTGGTATGGTTTTAGAAGGTCACAGAGGGAGGGAGGGGTAGGACCGTGGATGGGTTTCGAAAGTGAGGACGAGGATCTTGAACTCGATAGGGTCATGGAGCCCAGTGTGGGAGAGGACACGAGTTGCAGAGTTTTTAAGTAATCTGCATCTTGTGGAGGGTTGTGAAAAGTTGTGAAGCGCAGCAGGCAGGGAGTTGGCATAGTCACGGTTGCCTGTGATGAAAGCACTCGCTCACTGAGGACTGACTCACTCGCTCACTCACTCACTCACTCACAGCGGAGTCACTGACTGTTCCTCTGCTGCTTTGTCTCCAGCTGCTGCCTCAGGTTGGTGACTGACACTCTGGCCAACCAATCTGAGGTGTAGGCCCCAACTCCATCTAATCCTCCAGCGGCGAGGGGTTGAGTACACAATCTCAGGGCTGGATGGAGGTTATACTGATTCATGGGGATGGTTTGTAGCATTGGTGAGAGGGTAGCTCCCCCTCCCTGACATTGGGTGTGATGGAGTCACATCACATTGTGATGTCCTGTACCTCAGTGATTAAAGCATTCGCCTCACAAGTGAGAGACCTGAGTTCGATTCCCGGCAGGGTGAAACGCTGGGCAAGTTTCCTTACACCGCACGCCTGTGTTTACCTAGCAGTAAGTAGGATCGCTTTTCCGGGGGTAATAATTCCTTCAAAAAAATATAATAAATTGGTCATTCAATCCACAACCGTTTGTGGGATACTGCTGTTCGAAATTGGCTGCAGTGTTTCGTCCACAAAATATACAACAATGGAAAGGTTTCCTTTGGCTTATTTGAAAAGTAAAGCACTGAGCATAATGGCTGGACTTGAAGATGAAGCAGTTGTAGGGATGGAGAGCTTCAGCCTATATTGCCTTGTTGCTGAGTATCGTGGAGGTGGAGTCGCCTCCGTGGCAGGCATGTCTACTTGTCAATGCTTCTCACATGAGGACCTGGATTAAACAGTATTAGTAAGCCTAGTACCAGCACTGAATTTAGATCTCTGGATCATCAAGATGGATAGCACAAACTGTGTTCAATAGCTGATGAGGACACTGAGGCTTGGGTCAACAGCTGCTGAAAGATAATACCCGGAGTCTATATTTGTGACCACATGCTCATATATCCAGGGCTGGATATCTGCCTTGATTGATATTCAGAGAGAGGATAGACAATTACGATATTCTATTGCCAGGCGCTTGACTTCGGAGCCAGCTCAGCTCAGTCCAAGGAGTCCCCCACTTACCTCTTCTTCCCCACCCCCCCCCTCGATATGAAGGGTTTGTGGTATTGGTATAAAAGAGGATGCCCGACAGGGGGATTCCTTACAGTACTATTGCTATATGCACTGAATAAATCACTGATTAAAAGATTAAACCATACAAACCTGACTATTGTTTGACATGAATACGTTTGACCCAGTTTTACATCAAAGGCCTCTGTTACTGCAGATAATCTATTTCAACATTTGCTCTTCTAACAGATTTTTTAGTTTAAGGCTTGTTTTGGAATGAATGACATGTTATATAATTGTTGCAGTTTGCCTTAGTACAGAACAGTCTACATTTGTACAATGTGTATTGTGCCAATATGTAACTGATTATGTGCTGATTAATTTGATAGCATGTCCATCCTTAAGCTGCCTATATCTTTTGCAAAAACATTTGTCTTCTGCTATTCAGATTTCTTTATCCACCAAAGTGTTTGATTGTTCCTACTGTCTGTTGAGAAATATTGGAGAATTATTGAGAAATAAAAGTCACCGAACTTGAATATAGTAAATATGAAATTAATTTGAAGTCTTGTGAAAAGTCTCAGAGTTTGACAGTAATTACATTTTTGGTATAAACGTCTGATGCATTATTCTGCAGGGTCTGGATCATGCCACACTGGAGTAGCATTGTGAAGAGCTGCATCTTAGGTTCCTTGTTTCTTGTGTTATGGGGCAGGCAGCAGCAGTTTTCAGTCATCGCTCAAGATCACCTACCTGTTGACGCTCAAATCACTGAGGGCCATCGACCCAACATTCGTCTTGATAGGAATATTGTTCAAGACAAAGAGTAAGCAACTCTGTTCTGTAGAGAGAATAAGCAAAGCATCTCTTTGCTGATAAGGAATAATAAAATCCATTTGTTAATATTTGAACACCAGGTATTTTTCATTTTCACATTGTGATTTGATCTTGTTTCAAGTTTCTTTCACATCAGCTAATTAGTACAAGTGCTTTCAATTTTTGTGAGGGTAATACTACAGTTTAAAGTATTGTCTCCTTCAGACTCTGAGAACCACATTTTATCCTTGTTGAAACCTGTTGTGGGAGATTTTACTGTTTAGCTCAGGATGTGGAATATTATGGATATTTTCTTGTGACCTAACATTCCATAACGTAGAGCATTGGGACTTTGATATTGCTATGATATTATATTATCACTTCCTTGTGATGTGCAATTTCTGTACAGTTGGAATGCCTGCGACTCATGAATCAAGAGATCAGGGGTATGGTGAAAAGGCAGAGTAGTGGAATTAAAAGATCTGCCAACATCTATTTAATTAGTGGAACAGGATCAATCTGCTGATTGACCTCCACTTGTTCCTATTAATTTGTGGAAAGGGGATAAGACAACACTTATAAATCTGAAAACAGAAACTGAAATCACCATCTGCAATATTTAGAGTTTAGAGTTTCCAATCTTCAAGCCATTATTGTGTCATTGGTTCCTGGGCTCACGTGCTAATTCAGCAATCTCCAGCTCCACACAGGCCGTATTGCTGTATGTTTGGCTGATGCAGTTTAGAGAATGATTGGCATTCTAGGGAAGGATTATTACCGCTGTTTCAGTGCAGGCACTTATTTACTAAGTTGATGATTGGCTAATTACATTAACATGTCCAATTATTGAATGTGGGAATTCGGTTGTAATCAAAATGTTTTACCTTACAGCCATATAATGGAGCATTTAGATGGTGTGATAGATAAAACTGAATCGGAGATGACGCCACAGGAACTTCAACTTCATTACTTCAAAATGCATGATTACGATGGGAATAACCTTCTTGATGGACTGGAGTTGATATCAGCCATTGCACACGTATACAAAGAGGTAAATGCTTTGTTACTGCTTTACCATCTGTCATCTTTGGTTTGTTTTCTGACAAATTGTGCAGGTGAAGGGTGATGATATCCATGGATGTGTGTGTGTGCGGAAACCTTGGTGTGTTAGAGGGTTCAAAATGCAACTGGGGTGAAGCAGCTTGAATGAACTGAATCATCACTTTGAGAGGTGAGCTGGTATCAGCCACTGTCATTGCTGTAAGTCAGTATGATTGATTGTTAATCAGTTCTTAGCATTACTGATTGTTGCAGTGTATTACTAGTTCCTGCAATTTAGATGTTATCCATCTAATAATAATGCTCACCTGCAAATATGCTGTCCATCCTATACTGAGATATAATAATTTTGGTAGAGGCCACATCTAGACGATTTAGAGAATAAACAGATACCGTATGCAGAGTGTGAGCAACTAAATATGGAACAGAAGAGTGAGAGGGGAAAAAAGATGGGAAAAGAGCAAGTGAGTGTGAGACAATTTGTTAGACCGAAGAGAGAGAGTCAGTGATAGCCAGAAAAACAGAGTGAGGGGCACGGACAGAACAAACCTACAGAGAGACAGGAGAGGCATAGATCGAACAGAGACGTGAAGTGAGGGCAGTATGACAGAGACAAAGTACAGTTACACCAGTTACTAATGGTGGCCTCTTACAATCTTCATTCCCAGATAAGTCTTCCTCTCTATTGCCCATCTTTAGTAGTATTTTAATTTAGTATTTTTGGCATTTTTGACTGTTCTAAAATGTGTAGCAATTCAGCAAATGTACATGTGTATGAGGTTCTGCTAGCCAATGAGCCATTCAATTCTGAAAAGTACAAGTCATACTTTTCTGCTAATGAATATTCTGACTTGTCTAAACTAGGAGAGTGTTAAGGTGATTCAGCACTTAGCTACAACTTGTTTAATTGAGTGCCTGTGCCCCCTCCACCCTTGTGTCAGTCAAAGTAATATTCTACTATAATGATAAACCTGCTAATTGATACAACTACAATGAAGTTTAATATTTTTTAATGTTAATTGTCCACCCTGGAAAATGTGTTATTCATAGGGTAAATTTTGCCATTTCTGGTTACATACTTATGCTCCCTTGGTTTCTAATTCTGTGACCTATTGTGTGTGTTTCTGCAGGAAGGAGGCCATGGAAACCCATTGAGTGAGAAAGATATTGTGGATTTAATCGATGATGTGTTAAGAGATGACGACAAAAATAACGATGGATATATTGACTATGCTGAGTTTGCAAAATCATTAGAATAAAACAGTGTAACAGTGGTTATATTCCCTTTTTCTGATGGTCATTGAGTGGAAGCAATTATATTTTTTAGTACTCAAGGTTCGGTCAACTTTATTTTCCTAAAGCAAATGAGCCAATCATTGTTTATTACCCTATATATCAACCGTAAGGTTTTAATTCTTTTCTGTACAGAATTGTAAACTCAAGACTTTTCAGTGGGTACTTTGAAACATGAATATTTTTGTGCAATTCTTAACTTGTAGCAGGATAGTATTAAAGTTGCTGTCCATTTAATATTTACATATTTTGTGAAATTTTGCAGTCAATGAAACATTTATACAGTAAATAAAGCAGTACTAAAACTTTGCAATGTCCACATATCACTTTGAATCATCATGGTAAAACTGAATAGAAAATGCCTGTTTTGTAATTTTAAAAATGAGTGTATCTTTGGTATCTGGTTTCAACACACAGCAATTTGAAGCCAGGTAATCAAAAAATGTTCTATTTATTTTTCTGTGTGACTGTACATATACATCTACATAACCAGTTGTATGAAGTAGCAAATGTAAAATAAACCTTAAAACTGCAGCATTAAGACTTGTTAAATGCAAGGATTATTATCGTTAAATTCAGAAGTGCAAACTCGTGAGCAAACAGCCCTACATAATTCTGATGCTAATTACTTCATACTTATTGCTATGAGTCTTTAACAATGTGCATTGGTATAGTAATGAAAATGTAGAGCTATTTTTCCTCTCTTATCTGGGTGGAGGTGAAGTGCTGCAACTAATGGCAGAAAGACCAACTCAAGTAGTTGCAGATAAGCTTCATACAACTTCTACAAGTTTGGTTAACAAGTCACCTGTGGAGGCCAAGCAACAAATTACTCTCCTGCCATTATGGGTTTGCAGAAAAGAATATAACACACAAATAAGGTGGAAAATAATATCAAATGGTGATTGTAAATTTGAGATGTAGCCTGTGATTTTCATTCCAATAATATGGTTGACTGAACAGGGAGTAAAGACACTTCATACTTCAAGTGCAGGCTAAACTGGTAATAAAACAAGCCCGTGGGGGCACTGACTATTACTGACAAAAGCAATTTTAATGTTTAGATGAAGAATTCTTGTTTCTGGATTTCTCTCCATTAATAAGTTATTTTCACAATCCACAATTTAATGGTGAATGAAACCTAAACATAGCTTGACTCTTTGAGAAGGGTCTTGATCATTTGAATGTGTTTCAAATAAATTTGCATTGAAACAGGTCACATAACCTTTTCTTCAGGGTGGAAAAAAATTAATTATTATTAAAATTAATAATTAATCAATTATTGTTTAGTAGGAAGTAGATTGGGTAGAAGCAGCAAGTAATCATTCTAATTGTAAAACAACCTTGCAAAATTATTCATTCTACTTCTGGGTGTGTGTAAGTGTAGTTTACCCTCTCCACAGAATAGTTAACACAGTTTAGAAGCTTATTGAAGATTGTACCGGGTGTGCAGTCACTACTTATTAAGTGGGGAGAAGAGAATGAAATAAAATTATTTTGAAATTTATTTTGTATGTAGCAGCATTTTTTAAAAGCAAAGTTGTCTCTGGCAAGTAAAGTAGTAAGGGAAAAAGTGTAGTTATGATCAAAAACATAACTACGGGGTGATTATCTAAAAAAATATATAATTTCTTTAAGACTGATTAGATATTGTAATGGTATAAAGACTTCTTGGTCACCATGAATTTTTCTTTGAAAAATCTTTCAGAACTTCTCAAATGATCTACATTTTTAACATGCAATTAATTACCTCCTATTGGCAGTGGATCCCATGTAACATTGCCAAATAGCTTAAATCATATCTAATGTGGAAGAGAACCAAAATACAGTTCCTTGAAGCACATTATTTTTAATTGAGCAGTAATGAACAAGTAATTTTGTTTTTAAAAAAACAGAATCATACAGTGTCTTCCCCCCCCCCAAGTGTATGAACTGCACATATCGCACATGTGTTTATCGATGATTGAAATGAAAAGCAAGAATTCATTTGCACTATTTGGTTTAAATGCAATTTTCTAGAGCCATGCACGTCAGTGAGTTTGGGAGGCAACATTACATAACAAGTCTTGATTTCTTTCTGGGAGGTTAACAAAGATTGGTTAATTCCAGTGAACTGGTGGATCCAGCCCTGGCATGGGGCCCAGGGAAAGTATTGATGAGGGTAGGCCCGCAGGGGGGGAATTGATTGATCTCAGGGTACTGTACCAATCATCATGCTGCCGAGGTGGAGGTGGGGCAGAGGCTAAGTGTGCGTGTGTGCTGGTGCAGGTAAACTGGCCGACAGCTGATGGAGAAGAGTAGCCACCTGTTCCCATGGATGAGAAGCGTGGTATATGATTAATGGCATGCGGGTACTGGTATGAGCGGGCGGAGGTAGAAACAGGACAAACACTAGGTATTAGGCTGCTGCAGGCTGAGATCACAGTGGGCGGGATTGATTTCTGAATGGCTCGTTCTTGTTTTCGATGCTTTGCTCGTCTGTTTTGAAACCATACCTGAAAATACAGATATTGAATTAGCCAAAGGCACATAACCAGGTCAAGAAGCCAGACATTGCCTGGTGCAGTAGTTAATAACTCACTGTCACTTGCTGCTGTTATAGCCCTGATACAGTTAGCTCTTGTTCTTGTGTTCTTTACTGCTATTTTGACATCTGACAGTGTCATTCAGTATCACTTTCTTAATCCCGTTTAGCATTTTAGATACTTCCACAAGGTTGCCTCTGAGATGTTTCTTTTCAATGCTAAAGAGCTGTATCTTATCTGTGATGGAAAGATCTGTACTGAAAAATAATACAGGACTGTTATCTTTCCCAAGCGGGGTGAAACCTTAGGCAAGTTTCCTTACTCCACACACCTGTTTAACCTAGCAGTAAGTAGGAATCCGGTTATTAGTTGATTGGCGGATCACTTTCTGGGGATAATAATCCCTCAAAAAACAAATGTGATCACTCAATCCGTGACTGTGGGACACTGCTGTGCCCAATTGGCTGCCGCGTTTCGCCCACAAAATACAGTCACTCCACTTTACAGTATATTCTGTGAAGTGCCTTGATGTATCAACGACGTGATTAGGCGCTATATCAAATGTAAGGATTATTATCATCTTTACACCTATTGGAGTTTGCATAACCCCCCATTCTATATGTAGGCAAGTGGAGTGCCCCTATTATATCTGCTGACCTGGATGCGTGCCTCATTAAGTTTGATGATCTTGGCCAGCTCCTCCCTGCAATAGATGTCTGGATAATGGTTTTTGCTGAAAGTGGCTTCCAGGTGTTCCAGCTGCTCTTGGCTGAAGGTAGTCCGGTGACGTCTGCGTGCAGGGGTTGGGTAGTGAGATTGTCCATGGGCATTGCCTGAGCCTCCAGAAAATTTCTTGTAGACACCCTCATTAACTGAAATGAAGCATCAGATTCGTTGTATTTAGTACATTACAAAAGAATCTATAAGAAACAGACCAAAATGCATTCTCATCAAAATTACAATGCACTGGGGCGTACTCCCAACATGAAAGGTGATATATCAATCTACATTGGTATTGTATATTGAGACCCCAAATCCATAGGGACTTAGCCTTATGATCAACGTCTGGAAATTTATGATCATGCAGAAGTTTGGAAAATTCTTAAATACAGTTTAAATTTGAAAGGCTGTGCTTCTTTAGAGGTTCCAAATTAATATAAGACTGAAGTTAAAATGTATCCAAAATTATGCGCAACCTTAAATTTCAGAACAACGGTCTTCAATTCTAACGACATGAGAAATTTCAGGCAAGATTCCTTTATACTGCAGCTGCAGTAACATCTAAGGTGCCTGAACAGGATGCGAGCCAGAAATCTGGAACTATACTCCCTGCTCAGCATTGTACTCAAACCGAGCCAAGGTTGAAGGACATCGAGTTCGGCTCCCGAGAACTTGTAGCTTAACTGCTGGTTAATTTTTAATGTTAGCAAACAGTCAGCATCAGCTCTGCTCTATATATTGCAATACAATTGACATATCAATTTCACTTTGGAAGGAGGCCTCAAGGAGCCTCACACTGTTCTTGGTTGAAGGCGGGAGCTGAAGAGGGTGGGGAGGGGAAAGATGACCAAAAGCATAGTGAAAGAGATAAATCTTGAGACCAGAATAGAGTTCCAGAGAGTGGCTTTAATTTGAGTGGGCCATGTAAAGTCTAAAAAGATGTATAGCATCAGCTGCATTTTACATGGATATTAATTGGATGTTGCATAGCTCCCCATTGAAACTATCTACTCCAATCCCAATTCCTTGCTGGTTTCCCGTACACTTTGAGATTTTGCCTCTTCAAATACATATCCAATTCTCTTTTAAAAAGCATGTTGTCACCTTTCTTTATTACATCTTTTTTATGTCAGAGGCCAATCTGCTTTCAATTGTCTGGTCCCATGTTCTGCTTAGCTGCAGGATCCTCATTTCCTTTGGCCACAATCCAGCTTCATGGATGTTGAAACTGAAAGTGTATTTACAGCAAGTCAGCATCTGACACATCTGATACCTGCAGGCTTCAATCCCTGCAGTCACAGACAACAATGGCTCCTGATAACAAATGGTCTCTGTTAGAGCCCAATAAGTCCAAAAGTGATCCAATTTCTTTTTTGAGTTTAAAAAGAACACTTTGAAATCCCAGGTTGGAAGCAAAACAGAATTAATTAAAGCAAGGCATTTCAGGACATTTATAAATGGACTTATATTGTCACCTGCTTCAATCTTTTAAAAAAAATTAGGGGTTTAGTGCTGCAACGAAATTGTGATTGCAAAGAAAGGCTAATGGACAGAGATTTATTTCTAGTGTTCACTTTCTTTTGTCATTGGTATAAAGAGGTATAAGCTTCACATTTTACAATAGGTCAAGCCCTGGCCACAGGAGGCAGAACGGCGTTGGGCCAGGTCCTGATTGCCCACCCAGACGTGAAGATGCCAGTGGAAACACTCATTCACTCACTGGATCCAGGGATTAAATTCTCCTATACCCACTATACCAACTTCACTGGGAATTTGGAATTTGATAAGCGCTTGGTTTTAGTTCATATAATTTAATATCGTGAGAAAGTGCAAGAAAGCCAAGGCTAGTCTATGTAAGCTAAAAAACACAAAAGAGTCTGATTTGTCTGGAAAGGGCAATGAGCTTAACTGGTGCTACTGATTAGCGAGGCAGTCAATTGAGAGTGACTAAGTGACTGCCTTTAGAAGGAGAATGTAATAGTGTACCTCAAGCTTTGTGCAGACTCATTAATGAGTCCTCTGACCTAGGTGCACACCAGACACCAGTCTTTACGTTGAGTGCAGTAAGGTCATAGGCAGCACCAAGTCAATTTGTTAGAAACTAGTGACTTTGAAAAGACATTTGTAGCTAAGTACATTGCTGATGCCTTTATATAAAAAAAGCTGCAAAGTTGTTGATAATTCTTTGTATTAGGATTTCTTCGTTATAAACAATACACGTGTACAGAATGACAATGTTACATGAATCATATTCCTAAAGTTGTTCAATGCTGTCGCTGTTTCCACAGAAGAGCCAGAAAGCTGTTGTGCAAAACAAATGGCCAACTTCGAGGTTGTCAGATCAAACCCGGATGACCTGGAAGTTAGACATTTTATAGCATTGGAAGCTAGCTGGTAGTCCAAAATTAATAATTAATTACCCTGTAAATGTCAGTCCTGACCCAACTGTCCAGCACCTTGGGACGTCCTCCCGACTTGAAAGGCGCTCTATAAATGGAATCTTGTTGTTGTTATTGTCAGTGTATGTAACCTTATTATAACAGGGTTCCTTTATAGTTGGTTACTGTACAGTGTTGACATAAATCTTGACAAGGGTGCCAACTATATTGTACAGCACCTTCAGCCGTCCGAGGCCAGCATTTCTCATGATCTTAGTTTTAAGATAGTTATCTTAAAATTTAGAATAATGCATAATTTTGGAACAAAAATCAAATTCAGTAACTTTGAAGCCAGTTTCACACATTATTTAAGTCACTGGTAGTAGAAGGATTTAAACTATTCACCAATTTAGTTAAATATAGGCACTCAAACTGGCACCTGAGTTATGATCAGATTATTCAGCACAATGATGAAACCTGAGGTCTTGTTGGCCTTAGATACTTCCACAGAGCCACTTGTTATTGTTGAATCCTGGGGGCCATTTAGAGGAAGGTTTAGAGAAGGGCGATTTCATCCTTTCAATTTTCTCCTCAAGACACTACTTTCTGCTGTCCTGGACCTCACTTCACTCGAGTGATCATGCTTCATGTATGAGTCTCAAAATGGAATGCCAGAAGATTATTCGACTGTTCTCACCCACAATATCCAGACACAGGTTTCTTCCACGGCGGTCGGTGGCTGATGATTCAGCACGGTAAGAAAGTACCCAGTACGAAGAGCGTTATATAAATGCAAGCTGTTTTTAAGTAATTTGGTGAACACGCTTGAAGCTTAAAACGCCTGAATATCTGACTTGTCCAAATCCATAAATCCCTAATAATGCCCAAAGAACACAAAATGGGCTAAATCAACTCTACAGTAAAAGTCAGCCAAAATCAGTATTTGAGTCAGCACTTCACAAATGTTGTTCAATTTATTGGAGAAGATTTAAGGGCATTACATTTTTCTTAATGTAAATCTCGATTATCTTCAATAGGGAGATAATCTTGAGAGATAATGACAAATGTAATACATTGCGGTTAGCATGTGAAAATAAAGCTTACATTTTGTTTAAAATATTGGTTTCAAAATGTCTAACAACATTTGTGAGTTAATCCTAATCAGCCATTTTTTTCAAGTAAATTCTTGTTTTAAATTAGCTTAACAGGTATCAGATATTTATGCCGTTAATCCATAAAGTAAATTACATTTCACAATAGTTCTAATGGATTTCAATGTAACCATCTGGATGAACCCCCAAGCAGTTATTGTCTCCGCCGTTGACTTAAGAATAGAGTGGGAGGGGAGAGAAAGCGAATTCTCCTGTTTGGAGCCGATATTAAACCTTTTCTCCTTGAATTGGCAGCAAACCATCAACACTGGACTTCACAGTATTTAAGACAAAAAAAAACATGTAAACGCTCAGACAACAGGATCTCAAAAATCACACTCATGAGGAAAAGTGCTTCTTGGCACTTCATTGAGTAACCATTGAATGAGAAACTTATCCTCGGAGGTGTTTTTTGCTTTCTCAATGCACTATTCCAATAGCCAGATACTTCTTCACCGGCCTTGATTTATTGAATTAATTATTTTATGGTTCTAATTTAGTTCATTAAAGTCTACGTCTTAGATCAACATAAAATATTAAGTATTTAATAAGCATAGAATAATACATAAAAAGTGGTATCGGCAGAATTATTAACTGTATCCAAGATAGATTATTTATTATAAAATTTAGAAACACTCTGATGAAATAAAATCATTGATCAACCTTATTAATTGCTTCCTTCGAGGCTTGAAGAAACACTCAAGCTTAGCCTCTGAGACCATCTTGTCTTAAAATTTAAGATTACACAGAATTGTGGAAAATTCTTTCATTCAGCCTTAACATGGAAGCCAAGCTATAAACATTTAGAGAACTGCAGAGAACCAAATCCAAAGTGTAATATAAGAATTTGCCACAATCTGCACAATCTTAAATATAAAACGAGTTGGAATTTTTCAGACTGGTCTTTCATGCAGACTCCATTCACCTCTGGTAAATCAGCATTCAGATGGAGTTTGTTTTGAATCCAATTAAATCTGATTTCATCTTCACACAACAGATTATACATATACGATAACTTGCATTTATGTAGTGCCTTTCACTAAAAAATCTCAAGGTGCTTTACAATGATGAAATTAAGCGATTGTGATATAGGCTAATGTGGCAGCTAATTTGTATCAATAATGCGCAACAAACAATGAGATAAGTAGCAAATTAATTTGAATTTGGTCGTAAAATTTAGATAAGGTACGGACTATAAACCAGAAAAAACAGGGGNAAAAAACCTCCACATTTTTTTTGAACAGCAGAGTGTCGCTTGACATCCACTAAGACAGATAAAGCCAAAATTAATGATACAATCAAAAAAGTATGGAAACAAATGAAACAGAACAGGATGTAAAAATGAATATCATTGTACGTGTATGCAATGCAGTAAATTAGTGACTGTACAGTGAACATAATTAATATAAATTAGTGAATATATAGGCTGAATCCAGTTCTATATGAATACTTTGCTATATGAATGTATAGCTGTAACATTATATTACAAATTAACAAATGGATTTCTGATTTTACATGTATTAAGCCCTCTGAGACACTATCCCACATGGAGGACATTGTACAAATACAACTTGTTGTTGTATTACTGCCAATTGGATGTATGATCATAGCTGTAGTGCTCTT